GCTATATACGCGGTGTGGTACGCCCTAAATATTACATGAGTTTTCTTGGTCCTAGACTGCCGCCTTTTACAGATGTTCTTGAAATCAACAGGTTATTATAAAGGTGGAATAATTCAAGTGAGCCAGTGTCCCTGTTCATGACTTGCGTGGATTTACGGATCCATATGCTTTCTTTACCTTGTCTATGGAAGACCAAAAAAAAGCTCACCTACCAATTGAGGAGGGTATCACACCGTATATATAGCAGTGTTGACCAGCATGGGAGTCGGTGCTTGAGAGAGGATAGCCGAAGTGCATGTGAAACGTTGCAGCTCTGTATCATTTATTACAACTAGTTACACAAAAGAAAATTATCAAAAAATTCTTCTGAAACCAGATGAATTTATTTAAATATATCATTTATCATTGTTATTATCAATCATCATCTTTATATCATAACCATCAAGTCATCAATAGTTATCATGTTCACCACCATTTGTTTATTTTTTTGTTGTTAAGGAGAGAAAACTGATAATTGGATGGGTGTATCTGAGATGATCTTTGGGACAGCTATCTGCGGTGTGGTGTTTTCGCTTTTTTCTGGACAACCTCTTATGATCATTGGTGCTACTGGACCTGTTCTTGTATTCGAAGAGAATTTATATTCAGTAAGTATTTGCCTCTGTTATAAGCCCACCCATCCCCCACCCCCATTGAATTTAAAATTAGGCTGATTGTTGGGGGGTGTGATTATACCTGTTTAATCCCCTTTTTTACAGAACTGCCTGCCAAATTCAAAGCCTTTTTTATTTTTTTATTTTTTTCTGAAAGCATTTGTAACAACATCAGCTACTCACTCAAGCCATACACTGGACTTTCGCCCTAGGAAAGGTACTTACATAAATGTGGCGTAAAGTAGACGATGGGCTTATGCCCAAGGTGGGTTTATACCCAAGGAATTTACAGTACGTAATTTTAATTGAAAATGAAAGTGAATGGCAGCAAATAATTACACAGGACCAATGGCTTGAACACTTTATCTGAATTACTGAAATGTCAGCAATTGAGATTAGATTATATCCACACACAGCGACTGCTAAGCAATTAGTAGAGCTCCAAATAGTACACTATAGGAAAATTATTATACGAAGGTTAGATTTAATGCTTGAAAAAATTTCCTGAGGGCCTGCATCTAATTTCGTTTTTTGTGTCTTTAATTATGGGTCTAGAATATACCTATTATTAAGATAGTAAAAAAATAACTTGCTATCTTGCTTGAAAAGTCTGAACAAACATTGTTTGTTGAGTTTGACAGACAAAAGTTTGATGGCGTTTGTCCAGCTTTAGTCTTAATAATTGTGCTTAAATCTATCTCCACACTATATGTATGTATGTAACAAATACTGTGATTTCCCCATTTATTGACATTGACATGCACTTATATAGGTGCAATATGACATCATAATACCCATATATAGGCAAATAATAATAATAATAATTTTGTTTTATATTTTCATATAGTGCATGTGCTTTACATTAAATTATAAAACAAAAAGCATTATGACTCAAATCACACATATTTGTGACAGAAAACATGAAAGCATAGCCTTGACAGAGCTTAAGTTGTAAAGATATTTAGTCGGAAATTGGACAAAAACCACCCTGGACAATAAGCACCCGGAGAAAATCACCACAATGGATTATACCATTGGGGTTGACAGTGGTTCAGTTATGATAAATAATTCTGTTGGCAGGATTTGTAAGCAGGGCCCTAGAATTGGAAGGCACTATTCACTAGGCTACAGTTACATTTTGCAATCATTATTTTCAAAGAAATTTTTTTTTTTTTTTGTTTAGTTTTGTAAGAGTAGTAATATAGAAAACTTGTACCTGGAATTCCGAGGTTGGATCGGAATCTGGATTCTTATCATCACGATCTTTGTGATTGCCTTTGAGGGAAGTGTCATGGTGAGATTTTTCACTCGATTCACGGAGGAAATCTTCGCTCTTCTCATCTCTCTTATTTTTATATATGAAGTCTTCAAAAAGCTTAGCAAAGTGAGTATTATGTTACAGGTATATATTTTCCTTTAATAACAATAATAATATTAATGTAAATGCTTGTGGTACACCATGTAGGTAATTTTGGGGAAAAAAACACTTTTTTTTTTTGATGAAAATATTTTTTTTTACTACTGTAGGACTTATTTGTGTAATTCTGGGGTTTTAAGCTAACCAACACTTACCCATGTGAATTATTAACTAAAAATACTCTTTTTAAACATCATACAAAGTATTTCAGTCTGCTTCTGGAGATAAAAAATATATTTGTTAAAACTTCCGCTAGACTTCTTAGATTTTGGGACAGTTTGACTTGTTGAACACACAAGTTGAACACAAAAGTTCTGCACACATTGCTGAACTTTTCCACAGATTGTATCAGTGATTCGTCATGCCATGCACATGCAAAATCTTACTAGGGATCCTTCTGATTTGCGTGACTGTCCTACCAGGCATCCTACATTCTCTGCATACGTAGGTTTGCCCAAATTGCGTCCTAGAATCCATGCGACGAGGAGAACTTAACATTCTCACGTGCTCAAATGACTTTTAGCGACGTCATTACGTTCTGCTTCCTATCATCGTCGTGTAATCGAAAGCTTCCCACTATGTCAAAACATACTGCGTGGTTTTGCTGTTTGTCTTGGTCAAAATTAATCAAATACAAACACGAGTTTAAAGTAGTTTGTAGAACAGAATAAAACAAATGGGGCTTGCCATCCTAAAACCAGCATGAGTGACCAAAAAATAAGAATTGACTTTTTAATATATTCTCCACATTGTAAGCTAAAAAATAATGGATCATTTGCTGGAATCGACTTACTATTGCTGAAGTTATAAGTAAAAGTATTATAGCTTCTCTGTACTAAAGTATACAATACTGCATTCTTATGCTAATTATTCAGCTTAACAATTAGTGACAGTACGCTGGTTTTGGAATGACAAGCCTTAAATGATTCTTAGGCGGTGGCATAGTTTGAATGGGTGGGCCCGGTAAGCACTTTGCAAATGGAGCAAGAAACTGAAAGTGGTGGCAGGGGTAGATGGTGGCCCTGGTTGACACATGAAAAATTAGTGTCTTTTATGTTCTGGGAGGCTAAGTTGATGAATTTTATAAAGAAATCTCTGAAAATACCTTCTATCAAAAATTGGCAACAACAGTGACATAAACTACTGTACAGCCAACTTGCGATCTATTGCTCAACCAAAGTGAGCCTGTTGTTTCTAGTCAAAATCAATATTTCTCATTGGTAGGGCCTATAGGAGGTTTGTCTCATTCATTAAAATTTTTGGGTGGACCAAGGCCTACCTGGCCACACAGTCCTGCTGCCAGTGTGATGGCTCTTCTAACATGAGCTGATATTTAAACACTTTTCTCCTTCAGATATTTTATTACCATCCTCTGCTGCCATTAGAAGATTACTGTATGAATTATGAAAATATGTCCGCTACCGAAGTGCCATATTCAACAGAGATGTATAGTTCAAACAATACTACTTTGGCCAGTACTGCTACACCAGATTGTGAGACAAATTATGAAAAGAGATATGGTGAGCCAAACACCGCATTTATGTCTCTTATACTCACCTTTGGAACATTCTTCATCGCTTATTTCTTGCGTATCTTTCGGAATAGCCGTTTTTTAGGAAAGCATGTGAGTAAGATTCTTATGTTTTTTCTCTACTGTTTTATATGTAATGCTTGCGGTACACCGCATAAGTAGTTCAGAAAAGAACTGTTGTTTGTCTCAACGTTTCGATCGAGTTGCTTTAATTTTCAACTTAATCAAAATGTCGAGACATTCTCAACAAACAGTAGTTCTTTTCAGAACTATGTATATGGTGTACCGCAAGTATTAAGTATATTATTACTTCACCATTCAAACTTTCGAACAATATTTCTCTATTGTTCTCATCAAACAAAAATTGTTGTTAGGCATTTACTATCATATATGTTGTTTTTTTATTTTATTTGTTCAGACATTTTCCATTAATAGCTGACAATATTTAATCAGATTTTGTCTGATATTGTTTCAGACAAATCTGATAAAGCAAATATTGGGTTGTTTTTTTTTCATGTCAGGAGGTCTAACAGTGCTCTACTTCAACCTTTTGTATACATTTTTTCATTGTAATTTAAAAAAAATATGCTCTGAAATATATTTTTTTTTCTCAAGGAAGCGCATTAACATTACTATTTTACATTTGTAACAGGGCCGGAAGATGTTAGGTGATTTTGGAGTTCCAATTGGTATCCTTTTCATGTGCATATTTGATTATGTCGTGCCGTATGTCTACACAGAGGTGAGTTGGAAAAAACCTAGTGAATTAAGTCAAAGTGTCAAACTATAAATTTCTGTAGGAATTTCATAAATAAGTTCATTAAATATTTTGTAGAGCATTATGAAGTTCTTAATTCATTTTACTTTTCTTTACACTGAATACAACCTAGGTAGGTTCTTATAAAATCTCCTGTATTAATAACAACTGATAATGGACTATTCCATTATGCCCAATTGGATAATGTTGGTATAGGCCACACAAAACTACAGTGTTCGTATGCAAACATGTGGGTTTGTGGGATGTGACGTGTGTCTTGTCCTGTTGTGGCTGGTCAGCTTTAAGTTTTATTGAAACCACTTAAAGGTCAATTACAGAATAGCCTATAAAAAGAAACCTACTAAGATAGTATAAGACATACTCCAAGTATCGAAATGCACGCCATTGTGTCAGGATTCAATATTTCGACATTAATTATGTCATCATCAGGAATGAAAAGTTATTCATATTTGCAAGCTTATATGTACAAGTACCAAAAGTGTTTGACCAATCAAAACATTACCCCTAGTAGGTGACATAGCTATGAATAAAATAAAGATCAAAGCATTCTTACCCTACTGGTCAAAGTTTTGAAGCCCATTGTCATGCAAGGGGTGTAGCCTACGTGTAGCAAACGCTTCTTTAAACAATAGTATAGACCAGTTTGGCGAACTGTCAATAACGTTAGTATTAGAAAATATCAAACCTAATTTATTACTTACATTACAGGCTACCGTATCGGGATTCAATATTTCAACATTAATTATGTCATCATCAGGATGGGTTTCTTTTTATAGGCTATTCTGTAATTGATCCATTAGGAGTTTCGATCAAACATAGGACAGGATACACGTCACATCCCACAAACACACAGGTTGTCCCACAAACCCATGCTTGTATACAAACACTATAATCAGGCTACATTATCATTTTCAAGTATACCTTGTAAACCTAACTACTAGTAGAAACCTACTACAAAGTAGAAATTCCAGTAGTAGTGGATTTGAGAAACATCTGTTTCCAGTAGTAGTAGTGGACTTGAGAAAGTTTGATATCTCTATTCAAAGGATATCTTAAATTGTTTTTCATATTTGTGTTACAGAAACTGCAAGTACATGGTGGGTTTGAGCCAACAGACGCATGTAAACGCACGTCCTGGTTTGTTAATCCAATAGCCCCACTTCAAGATGGCAGACTTGGTTTAGTGTTCGTTTTAGCAGCTGCAGTACCAGCAGGCCTAGTATTCATTTTGCTGTTTATGGAGGCACTTATCACCTCGTATGTTTATTTTAGTAATTACAGTACAATTACAATAATTTTATTATTACATCACAAAAGTTTCTTGAATTTTTTTTGTGTTCATTGGTCTACGAATGCCATTGTTACACATATACTATTTATTAAGATCATTGTATGTCATGTTTTTAAGGTTTGGCATAAACATTAAAATATGAAGAAAAAAAAAATTAACATTGTATATTCAAAGAAAACAATGTATAGAGGTCAAATTAAACCATGGAATGAAATAGAAAAAATTCAGTGAATGTCCAATGGTAATACATTACAATTGGTTTATATAGTGTATTCCAGTTTAATTTCAAATGTTATGGATATGTAGCTTGTTAAAATGCTAGCCTTCCAATCCCATGGCCCTGGGTTCAATTCCTACTTCTTATCATGTCCAAAGAAACCTTCAACGTTTGTAAATAATTATACCGTAAGGGCAGGCCCTGTGAAGGACCTGCTCTGGTCTAATCTAGGCGTGATGATAATGGTGATACAAGTATTCCTTGTATGCTTTGTGGTGGCGGTAGAATTGGTGTTCTCCCAGGGTCGGAACGAGGACACTTCTACCATGATTCAAAGGATTTTTTTCTCACAATTGAAAACATCCGCACTACCTAAATCTTGTAATAAGACCTAGTTTACGAAACATCTATTATTATTCCTATTTTGTCTAAGAAGTAAATAACAGCTAGGCTGAAAGAGTCGAACCCTATAAATGCTGTGTAAAAAAAATTAATGATAATGTGCAGTAAAATGATGAATGAATGAATGGCTTTGAATTTAATTTGAATGTTTCAGGTTGATTGTAAACAAGAAGGATAATAAACTTAAGAAGGGGTCCGGATATCACCTGGACATGTTCCTCATCGGTTTATTGGCGTTTGTCTGTTCCATGCTCGGTCTTCCTTGGATGACTGCGGCCACTGTACGATCAGTCACACACATTGGCAGTGTATCAACATTCAGCAAGACAACAGCCCCCGGTGTGAAGCCAAAACTGGAAAAAATTTATGAACAGAGAGTGACCAACCTATTTGTCAACAGTTTGATTGGTAAATTTACAAACTGTTTTAAACAGCTGCCTTTAAGGAAAAACTTATAAATCACATAATCAAACTTATAAATCACAATCATCAAACCAATCATTTGAACTTAAATAATTTTTCTTCTTCTCTGTTGTTGTTAAGCGCCTCGAGGTTGTGTCAACGTGAGGCGCTATATAAATCCAGAATTATTATTATTATTATTACATAAATAAACTACCATTAAAAATATCTGATATTTTAAATACCCATTAATGACAATTTATCATTGGATAATTATGCACAACAAACATTTATTTTCATTATTATAGGTATTTTTGTTGTTATTATCATCATTATCTTTATCCTTACATCATCATTACTATTAAAATATTAATAATATTACTATTAGAAATAATAAAATAAATTTAAAAAATAACAACAATAGTACTATTATACTGTATATTAATTTTTGCGGTACACCATGTAGATAGTTCTGAAAAGAACAGTTGTTGTTGGTTGAGAATGTCTCAACAACAATAGTATATTGTATCTATATTTATTGTTTCATTTATATTAATGATCAAATAGTTTCATCTGGTTTTGTAACTGTATAATCCAATTATTGGTTTACTATTTAAAAAGAATCGGATTATTGATTTATATTGTTATAAATCATTTTATTATATAGTATAATTATTTGTTATTTTGTTTTCATTGGTATAGTACCTGCAGTAGGTTTGTTATGTGTAATTTTGTGTAAATCAATTTTGTGTATAATTTTGGGTAAACTTGTCTTAAGTTTTATGTGCAGAATAATAGTTGATGTATTATTTATAATTGCTATCATTATGATAATTTTTTTAAGTCACAGAAGCTTAAACAATTATCATTATTATTTCAGGTTTGTCTATTCTACTTGGTCCATTGCTAAGCCAGGTTCCACTGACAGTGTTGTTTGGTGTCTTCTTGTATATGGGAGTCAGTTCATTGAGTGGAATACAACTTGTAGAAAGGATTGAGTGCCTATTTATGCCAGTAAAACACCATCCGGACACCATGTTTGTACGCCAGGTAAGAAATAACAACAGGTGGTCAATAGAAAATTGGTAATTATATACCTCTTCCTAGGTTTAATGATATGTTCAGACACATGGCGTCAGGCTAGTGTATCTTTAAGCTCGATGCATCTAGCTAATTTACTGGATTAATTAATGCTACTGCAGGAAACCAAAATTACTTTCTGATGCTAATGAAGATGATGCAAAATAGTAATATTCTTTGCGAAACTAAACATTAGCATATTGTGGTAAAGGCGAGCCAAACCAATTAGTTCTTGAAAATTGTGTTTTGGAGATAATGGCAAAAACATCTCAACATTTTCAAAATCTATTTTATTGCAATAAACTAAATTAGATTACTAGATTACTAGATTATATATCTATGTTGTCATTTTCCTCCTTTCTGATGTTGAAATGTAACAACTTAAGGATGTTCCTCTGCCTGAGAAATGGCCAAAATCATAAACTTTGAAGGCTGATTAATTTAAAACTGTTAATTAAACAGCTGTATGTTTAAACAATGTTTATATAAGTGTTTAGTATGTGCACCTTGGCTTTATTAAAGCCTATGACATGCATAGTTTGAAGGCTAATGGTAGGCCTATCTGTTCTTATTATATTTTGGATTTTTTTTCTTTTTGGGGCATTGTCAAAGGAAACATAAAGTTGATCCAATAAGCATTGATCAAGGAAGTCATCTTAATCATTGTTTTCACAATTTAAAAGTCATCGTCTTTGTATTCTTATGTGTTAATGTATGCATGCAGTTGAATAAATTCAGCTGAAAACTATATTTTTCAAAATTATATAATCAGATTTAGGTCTAACAGTGCTATTTCCGGCCATCTAGAGGTGCCATAATCATGAATTTTCTTACCTCAGCCCCAAACATGGTGGGGCTGAGGTGGTCTAGTCTCCCCATCTGTGAAAGTTCCTCTCTGGACCCCCTCTATTTTGAATTCCTGGAACTGCGACTGCATATCAAATCGATGCAAAGTTTATTCACAAAAATAGCATCTTCTTTGAAATCAGCTCAACCACACCAGAACAGCATTTTAAATTAAAGGTGGCGGTCATAGTTTGCAATATTTTTCGAGAGAACCCCTGGACCCCAAAAGTTCCACTCAGATTGAAAAAGATCTCTCCCCCATTACCAAAGCTGGTTAATGGCATGAGTGCTGAGAAGTGTATACTGAATTTTTATCACAAAGTTTGGGGTGCAATAGCACTGCAATAAAAAATTAACGGTTAAAATTCTAAGCTGTGAAGTCGCCAGCATAGATGGCCTAGCCAGCATTGCTGTTGTGCGAATAGAACAGGGGGAGCCGACAGACACATAATCACTGAACCGTATAATTTTTAACTTTAGCGCTTGAGCTCTACTACAGTGGGTATGTGCGCTGTATAAATCTAATTATTGTTATAACTCTATGTATGCCAGGGAAATAAAAGTCAATCAATTTGCGAATGTTGTTTTCCTAAATACAGGTTAGGACATGGAGAATGCATATGTACACAATTATCCAGGTGATCTGTTTATTGGTTCTGTGGGTCATCAAGGTGACCCCTGCAGCGTTGGCATTTCCATTCTTTCTCATCCTTTTAGTTCCTGTACGTCATGCCATCGGACGGATATTTACACATTCTGAACTTGAAGCAGTAAGTACTTTTTGCTTTTAGAGTAGAAATAAAATTGTCATCATAATACAGTATTTGGACTTGTCTGACTTGTCTGTCTCATTGAACTTCTAGCAGTACTCCATTTTCCTTGCAAAATGAAGCCCTTTGTATATTTGTATGTAGTTTATTTATTAACTTGAAACCAGTAGGACAGACAGGCAAGAAAGAGTGTTTCTTTCTGAAGCAGCAACTTAGCGGAGTGGGAAATTATATGTTAAGCTTTGTTTCCATACAATCGCTACACAATATCTGACAGCTTTCGGTGATGCTGAACGATTGGTCCCATCGGGGAGCCTTCCCGATTGTGTTGAGGACTGCCAGGCAGTACAATGATTGCACTGAAAACTGTAGTTACAGTGTAGCGATTGTATGGAAACCAAGCTTTAAACACTAGGCCTAGTGACTCTTGATGAATCTTATCCTTTTTGAGGTTTAAAATGATTTGGGTAACATACAATACACCTCTTACCATACCAGACTTGATATAAAGAGTATTTTAGGTCCCAGCAGTACATTCATTTTCAAATTATTATTTATTTTTTTTTTTTCTTAATCCCCTCTTTTTCCCCCCCTCCCCCTCCCACATAAGGCAATTGCTGATTGTTGGATACATTAAAAAAAAATATAAATGTAGCAAAGGATCTGTATTATGGCACATAGAAAAAATTGTTAGATTGTCAGTCCCGCCCACCTCAAAAAATTAGGGAAATATTTAAAAAAACAAATTTTTGCTGCATCATTTATTTCAAGAGCTTAAAACAATGCAATTTCATTACTGGAAATACATTTTCTTTAAAAATCAATATAATTAAACAAGTTTTTATACAATACTTACAATATTCTTGCCAATTCCTCATCCATAAAAAGTTTGAAAAAAAAACAAAAACCGCCCACCCTCATCACTTTTTTTAAAGAGTGATAATCTAATAATTTTTTCTATGTGCCCTTATTATTTTATTTTTTTTTTACTTTTAAAAATGAGTATTGATGGTGTTAGATTAACTAAATTAATTTTTCCCTTTTTCATCCCTTTTTTTCTATAAAGCTTGATAATGATGAGCAGGAGATGGCTGAGGAGGAGGATGAGTATTGGGAAACTTACATGCCAATTTAATTGATGCCACTGATGAAGAAAATTATGATTGTTACATGCAAGTGAATCTATTCCTGTCACTTCAAGCAGTCAATTCCAACAAATTAAAATGGAGTAATTATGATTATACTTTGGTAATCACATTTTATTGCCAAAGAACAGCTATTAAGACGTATATCCAGTATTTTTCAATGGTGCTTTGAAGTTCTGTCCAAAGTTTTAAGTGACAAATATCTAACCATGGTTGTTGTATGACATCATTATCATCACGCCGATGTATTTCATAGTGTCTGCGAATGTTAATTAAAAAAAAGATCCAAGGTTTTAAATATTAACATCTTGCATTCCCCTGACTACTCATCTTGATTAATTGGCTATTGATTTTTCGATTACGTGAATATCTGACACCAGTGGTGAATTCAGCGGTGGCGAGAGGAGCACTCAGCCCTGGCAACACTCGTTAAATATCTTTAACTAAGCGTTAAAACATTACAAGATTACAATGGCTAAAACTTCAGGCAGTGCTTCTATCCTCATAATAGTTAAGTACATGAACACTCCAACCTCCTTGGCTTTGCCACCTTGGGTGCTACTCTGAAAAGCCATCTTGATTCAGAGGCGGATCCAGAGATTCTCTGACGGGAGGGAGGCACAATATAAAGTTTTCGCCGCCACACCCACCTCAGCCCCACCAATAAGTGGTAAATAATCGAGCCTTACTTTCGCCCACTGCTGTATCGCTGAACTCATGGGTGCACTCCCTTTTTAGCTCTTCCTCTCTTTAACTCAAATTTGTCACCCTCTTTTTTATTTTTCGGCTTGACTGACAGGGGGGCACGGGCCCTCATGGCTGCTGCCCCCCCCCCCCCCCCCTGGATCCGCCCCTGTGATTCGTTATTAAGATTTTTTCTTTTTTCTGTCCTGACAAATAGAAATGAAATATTGAATCACAACGGCTTGGGGTATCAGTTTCTATGGAATTATCTCATAATATGTCATTGATACTGTGAAAATATCAGGCCACTAATTATATCATTTACTGTACTTGTATTAAAGAGAATTTACAGAGATTTTATATGAGTTTTATTCTTAGTTTATGTAGGAAATCAATAGTTCCAAGTTTAGTTTATTTATTTATTATTTCTAGTAAGTGCCTTGAGATGCTATTTGTTGTTGAAGGTGCTATGAAAGCATATAACCAATTACCATTGTACACAGATAAACAGAAGTTTTTTGCACTCTGTTTTATTTACTTTGTCCGAATGATCATTCATATAAGTTTTTTTTTGTACATTTTTTACATGAAATATTATGTTTAATGTTTTATTCATCAATTTAAATTCATCAAATGTAAAGTACTTGTAGATAATGACTAAGAGAGAGAGAGAGAGAAAATATAAATAATTATTGTTTATAATAGAATATATTGTATACATATATATATATATATATATTTTCTTCTATATGAGTGTTAATTATTAAAATTTAGAACCTCCTGTATTCTTCCATTGTCAGTGACAGAATGCAAACATTCCGATCCTCTGCACATGATTTTAATGAGAGTAGACAGCTGCGAATTATTTTTAAGTCTTTAACAGATTTCATCTTGGACATGATAAAGGAAGTTATAATGTTGTTTTATTAATATAGGGCATCACTTTTTCTCACTAGAGTACAAAGCATACTTATTTCCGAGACTTCTCCCTCCTCCCGAAATAGATACATAGTAAATTACTATTGCGTGTAAAAGGTCAGCAGACCTTGTGACATGTCATCAAAGCCCCACAGAGAGCAGAGACAGATTTGTTGCCCAGCGGTCTTACAATAGAGTGTGGGCTCGACTTTAAAGCCCATTTATGATTATCAGTATTGACATTATCATGGCCAGTGTATTCTCTGAGACAACTCAAATTCTTTTATTGTGTTTAATGTTCCATAAAGAATTATGGATCTTAACTCAATGGGGTCAACTAATATATACTGGCATGTACCTATATGGTACAGTATTATATTTCAGTTTCATATATAGGATAGGAATTCTCACAAAAGTCTGGTTGTTGCTATTATTATTACCAATAATGATTTTTATATTTTAATTATTATTAGTTATTATAGGTATAATATTTTTATGTTTATAATTAAGCGAGACTTTTTTAATTCCTCATTTTGCATACTTAAATTTTTTTTAAGAGGTCGGAATAAAAATAGAAATGAAAATTTTGTTGTCTTATTTAGCAAATATTTTTGCCAAAAACATCCCAACGGAGGAGAAAATAAAAATTAAATTTTATTGGTGAATTTAAAATAGAATGGTTAAATGGTTCATATTGATATAGAAATATACATATCTTATCTTTGGTGGTTTCAAGGCATCGGAGGGCATGATAAAAATAAAGAAAAACTTTAAATTTTTTCTGAAATTACCACTTTTTCGTGGCAGCGGGTGTGCTAATTGGCCAAAAATAAACTTTTACAGGTAGTTTTATTTGAAATCATCAATATTTGCAGTTGACGGGTTCGCTATTAAAACAAGGTGTAAAAAAGTCTCGACTTTAGTTACATTCCTTAACAGTCACTTGTTAGTCATTATTATTATTATATTTTTGCATTATATTATTGTATTAATATTGTATTGTTATTATTAATAATATTACAGTATTATTATTATGTTATTATTATATTATCATTAATATTATTATTATTATTATCAATTTAATGTTAATTAGCAACATTCCTTAATATTATAGCTACCATTTTTTATTATTGTTAGTATAGTTATTTTCCCCACATTTAACATTGACTTTCTTTCTTAATATAATTTTTTTTATTTTCTTTTTGTCATTACTATACTATGTTTCATACTGTAATCTTGTTTGTATATATTATAATTCCCTCTAAACAAAAGGTCTTTAAGTAGTAGCAGAGAACCAAAGAATATCGTCATATGGTACCCAGTGGGCTCCAATGTTTGCATCTGTTTTAAGAAAAACTGTTATTGTTATTGTTTTCAAATTGATATTGGAATTATAGCTTTATATTTGTCATGCGTAGTTTCACAGATTGTGAACATTTTTGATGCAATATTTCTATTGAATACAGTAATAAAGGTTGTGAAATTTTAATCCTGGTCGTACAATATTTCTACTTTATTTACAAGGTTTTAACTTTTGTAGTCAGTTCCAGACATGGGACATCAGCAAAGGTGAACATTGAGAGTCAAAAGTAAAAGAGCGATATAACAGTTTTCAAAACCTACTAACCTGTATTATATAAAATGCTTTTGCTTAATGATAGATAGACAGCAGAATGTCTATAGACAACAGAATCCTGGGTTCGAATGCCGGTTGAGGCACCTATTTTTTCACACTTGCCTACAAATGCCCATGACTGAAGAATTAAATGCTTCAATCGGATTTCAATTCCCATCAAAGCCTCAATGATCCAGTTGGTTAAGGCATAGATGGTTAAGGTATAGATAGCAGAAGGTCCTGGGTTCGAATCCTGGTTGGGGAACCTATTTTTTCACACCCAGATTCTTCTTTAATGTTTAAAATTTATATCAATTTATGTATATATTTATAGCATTTTAGTTTAATCTCATTTAACATGACACTTTCATATAGTAAAATTCATCATCCAATCACCATTATAGTCAAAATGAAGCGCCAACAAATTTCTCATGATCTTTTGTCAGCGATTTTCAGCCATAATTTTGTATTATTAGTCATAATACCTAATTAATAATATAATGTGATGTATCTTAGTAAATTAACTTTAACATTGTCTTTGATGTATTTACTTTAGTTTACCTACTTCAAACCGTGCGTTCAGATCTACCTCAGGCCCACCATGGTTGGAGCTGAGGTGCGGAAATTTGAGAAAATAATACCTCTAGATGGTCGGAAATGACACTAAAATTCATCACCATTATAGTCGAAATTAAGTGCTAAAAATTTTCTCATGATCTTTTATAGGGATTCGGCAATATCGGGATCTAATTAATCTCTGATGGACATAGAAAATAAAACTTAATCGTCTTTGATGTATTTACTTTACCAAAACCAATCTTATCTTTACACACTTTTTTTTTTATTACACACTTTTTTTTTTCTCATAGGCCTACTTCTCAAATTACTGTATAACAAATGCACGCGCACTCAAGTCGTGTATAGGCAATTCAAGTAATTGTGGGCAGACATCGGTATCTTGCTATAAGAAGATATATTCTGGCTGTACAGGGCTCTTTCGTTAAAACCTGGGTCATTATGCAGTTAATTTCAACAATTTTCAGGCATCTTTTTGACATGTAATCACATTTTCGTCGAAAAGTGGATGAACCAACCCCTCTCCTTAAAAATATATGGGGGAACGTTTCCCCGACCCCTCCCTCATGATCTGTGCCCATGGTAGCAATGCTCGCACTAAACAGTTTTTAAATTCTAAAATTTGACAGCTTAGTAAAGGCATGTTTGAATTGTACTTTCGGCGCTCGAGATTTTATTTTTCTCCGACGACCTTACTGGAAATTACCCGACAGGGGTTTCAAGTGGAGGTCCAGAGGTCCCCGCGGGGTCCTTTGCCCCGTGTACCACTCGCTAGCTCCGCCCCTGCTTTAAAGAAAGGTAAATACAGTGTTCGAATAAAGGACATGATGGTTCATCGTGTAGCATAGCTCTCAAAATGTTGTCCTATAAATAACTAGGCCTAGGCCTACATTGTGTAATAAAATTCCCCCGACTGGATTCGAACGAGTTCCTCGCTGTTAATGCGAGCGTCAAACCATTAGACGCTTCATGGTTGAACAGATTCAATTCAAGCGGGTACCCGGATACCATAATGCGATCTTATGTCAGAGAATTTTGTAGTCAAATAGTGTCGAAAGCCTTAGATCATCAATGAACACTCCGATTGCAAGGTGATTATTTTCTTAGAAGGCATCATCACTTTTGTTAGTTAAATCAATAAGGGCCATCGATTTGTTGTACTTCTTTCTAAAACCATGATATTTGTATAACGTACGGTATTATATTTTGTAATAAAATTAAAAGTTCTGTCGTAAATAATTCTTTCTAAGGTTTTCGAGGAAAAAAAGGAAAATATTGATGGGACGATAATTTGATAGTTCAGATTTAGAACCAGAATCGAAAATGGGTGTTACACGGACAAGTTTCATTCTGTTTTTTAATATACCGTTGGCCAAAAAAAAAGATTTAATATGTGGGAAAAAGGAAAATAAATGATATCGGAAACATTTTTAATAACATTTGAATTAATATCATCAATATAGGGAGATTTATTCGCTTTAAATGAAGATATAATTTTGTCGACCTCTTGTTCATCTACATGGGTAGAATTGATTTATTAGATTGAATAATTTTGCTTGTTAAAGATGGAGTAATTTTAACAAATAATCCTTAAATACATTGGCTATTTCACTACAATTAAAAGAGACGAGTGAGGATTTTTTAATGACAGAATTAATAGTTTTCCAGGTAGCCTTGATGTTACGTTTACGTTGAAGAAAAGTAAATTTGTAGTAAATGTTTTGCGTCTACAACTTGGGAGTTAATGCGAAATTTGTATATTTTGTTAAATTTTTAGAAGGAAAATAAAGGAATTTTATATATAGACTAATTATTTAGTATAGTATCGGTCATCCATGACTCAATTTTTTTTTTATTTAATAGTTACAAACGGAAAATGTTTGTTGTAAAGTAACAAAAATATGCTTTCAAATTTATGAATTCATTCAGATAGGCTTAACCAAAGTTTGGTGGTCTGATGATGAGTCGCAACTAGTTTAGACCACTTAAATTTCCAGTATCACACATAGATTGTCTAAGCATGTAACAGCAAATATTTGTTCGAAGAACATAAAAATTAAAGACTGATCTTATTACGTCTTCTATTCTACGATTGCACTCATGTAGAAAATTTGTGGAAGTTTACGGTTTGGTCTAAACGAATGTGTTAGATAAACTAATCCTTCTAGTTAAATTCTACATTTATAAATCCAGATGTGAGTCAGTCAGACCATCAAATAAAGGTTTAAATGAATTTGTAAAATACAATTTGCAAGCATGACCGAAGAATATTTTCAATTTTGAAGTAACTAATGGCAGAAAAAACCCAGTATAATGTGATGAGTGGCAACTATAGAGGACCATGGTTGATAAACCATTTTTTCGAGAAATTTGAAATAAGCGTGGCAAAGGATTGTTAACACATTTTATTTATTTGGAATTCCCAGTCACCACACATAGATTGTCTAAGCATGTGAAGTTATATCATATTAAGCCATGTATAATTTTTTTGTGATTTTTTAAAATTTTCATTTACGTTTTTGTTTAGGTTTCTTTTTATGTGATCGTCATGTGTTCTGTATTGTTGTATTAAAGAATGAATAAAAAAAAGAAAGAAAAAAGTCTGGTGTTAAACTCCTGCTTATCAATTCTCAGGAAAAATCACATCGTGGAAGGTGGGGGGGGGGGTGAAAACCGGAAATTATTTTACTGATTGTGAACTAAATGGTTTTGATTTTCATGTAATAAACTTTTCGACATTTTCGAGATCAATTAAATTTCGTTTTGAGGGACCGTAGCAGAAATATTCAAGGGCCTTTATATAATCCTGCGGAACGGTACTTTATGCAGGGGGAGGGGCGCACGTTCCCCTATAAAACTCAGGTCTTCTATTCGGCACCTCACCTCCCCTATTGACAAATATTTGGAGCAAAAAATAGCACCTTCAAGTAGGTAAGAATCACTTCATATCACATTTTTTTGTGAGCAGCGCCCCCTCACGTCTCCACCTTCGCTCTCCCATCAGCCCCCACCCCCGCCCCTTTAAGACTTCTAGATACGTACGCCACTGATGTATTACTCGATAAATTTCAGTGTTGAAGTAAAAAAAAAATCTAACTTTGGAAGGCTCTGATTTGACAAGGCCTATTATTCATTTATTTATTTCGTTGCCAGTTGGTCAATTATTTCACCTTCATAACAAAATCTAATTGTTTTGATAACAGCATTTTATTTTGTTGAATCTTTACTCTATATTTTAATTCTGTTAAAACTTTGGCAGTATTGGTCTCATGAGTGTTTCTAGTACTGTACATTCTTTAAGTCTAGCCATGTCATATTACAAAACAGGCCAAACTAAATAATGCATTTGCTGTGTTTAGTCTATCCTTAAGTGTGTGTATGTCACACACAATAATTCTAATATTTATTGCAATGTGTAGGCCTATTTCTTTTTAATTAATATTTTTTATCCTTTCCAATATTCATTGAGACGAACACAAGCCTATTAGCATATTTATAAGCAATTCATTATCTGATGAGTGGGAAGCCATGTCATGAACCACTAATTGTCTGATGAAAAATTATTGAATCTAGTATTATATTTTTACTGTTTTGCAATAGCGTATCTATATAGCTTGAAATGGGTGAGGGGATCAGATGGGCGCAAAAGGTGAAGTGGGAGATAGACATTTAAGGAGGCGCTCGAGTCGCAAAATAAGGTGATATGAGGTGATTTAACTACCTAAGCGTCATTTTTTTTGCTTCTAATATTTTCAATTGAGAGGAGGCGGGTGTAAACGGTGGCCTCTTTTGGGGAGGACTCCCCCCCCCCCACACGTACCCCTAGATACACCACTGCTCTGATTTTACCGTACTATTCAGTAGTCTGCTGATGATATATTGCATCGTATAGTATCCAGGTATTATTGTGCCTTCACTAGCTAGGAAAGTAATTAAATGCATATTTGTATTCTGTGGTTGGTTGATTGCCAACTTTTCAGTGCTTAGTGGATATCACTTTTTGGTGGATGGATGTAATGCGTAACTATCATTCATAATTATAAAAATAGTTTGGAGTATATGATCATATTCCATAGTAGTGAGTAGATTACTGTTTAAAATGTACAAATTTAAGATTTTATTTTTAAATCATAGATATTTATATTTAGTACATTTTCGACTGTCATGTGGACCTTAAACAATTTAGTTGGGTGCGTACGCACCCACCTATATCGCACCACCCCACCCACTGGAAATACGGGCTTTGAAACATTACATTTTATTTGCCACTTAATGCAATATTATACGCTTATTAATTAGATATCTTCTCAATTTCTATCTCAGTATTTTTCTTTAATTTTTTTTCCACTTCTAACGCTGTTTGATTTTAAATTGACATACCATTCATGGCGTTGCTCTTTTTGCGATTCCATATTCATTTGCAGTCTCTTAGTGCTCGGTGCTCATCTGTTTTGACTTTCTTTTATCAACGTGTGTTCGTAAGTTTTAAGCTCTAGGTCTAAAATTAGGCTTACCCATTCCATTGAAAGCTTCTTTTTTTAACCATAAAATTCGTTAAAATAATGAAATAATTAATAAATTTATTAATTAAAATGTAATAATTAAAATAATAGGTTTTCGCTTTAGTGTGATATTGGAATAACAAAATATAATAAAATTATATGCATTTCAATAAGGTTATATATCAAACGAACATGTCATCATTGTGATTGATTTTTTATTAATTGTGACCAGGGCCGGTCTAGAAGTCTTGAAATAGGTGTGTTGAATGGGGAGGGAGGAGAGGCCGCGAAGGTGAGGTGGGGAACTCGATGATCGGTTGAGGGGCGCTATTTCATAAAATAGGTGATTTTTAACTACTTGACAGTGATTTTTTTTTGGGGGGGGGGAGGGGCGAGTGGAACGCAAGTAACTTTTGGGGGGGCGTGTGCCTCCTGCGCACCCTTAGATACGCACGCCCACTGACTGTGACATAAGTCAAAATAATTTTAAAACCCTCAACACGTTATCACAGTAGGGTCTACTGCACATCGTGCAGACGATTTAATTACAGTTCGTGTTAATGAATAGGCCTACTAGACAATGAAAACAGATTTGCAGTTATTTTGTCTACATTTTTGTCTTTGTTGGGGTAGGTGGAATTTTTGACATGTAGGCCTACAGAAAGAGTTGGAATTTTTGAGGCACTATCACTATATTTCTTTAAAAAATATTATCACTCTGACTCTGATTCACCATGGCGAACAATGGGTCTGGATCCGCGCCTGAGGGGTCCTCCACAGGAACGTTTTTATTTTAAAGATGCTCGGAAAATGCGCTTCCCTGCCTCTGGCCAATGTGATGGGGTAGGCCTAATAATAGATATTCACACAAGAAAAAAAAAAGGATTTTCGAATAAATAATTTTAATTAGGCCTAATCTGGTAGTATATCTAATTTTGTTTTTAATTTAAAACCACTTGTTTTTCTTTGAGACCAATTTGAGATAATTTTTTCCTAGGACAAAATTATGCTAAATTTGCCAAAATATGCCTAGCACATGCTAGATGCTGAAGGGGTGTGAATTATGTAAAAAAGGATTAGGCCTAGATAAAATTATGCCAAGTCTGAACCAGTGCCGGTTCTAGGATATAATTTATGGGGGAGGGGCTAAGTCTGTCTATTCTACACATCTAGATGTGTATAAGAGACAGACATTTAATAAGTATTTATGGGTTTAACTATAGCGCGCAGTGTTATCTGAGGCCCGAAGACCTGAGCCAGTGGTGGTATGGGAGGGGGCGTGCCCTTCTCCCAAAACGAGATTAAAGAAAAAAAAATTGGGACTTCTAGATGGCCGGAAATGGCTGGGATGGGAAAACTAGGCCTATTTTTTATTTTTTATTTTTTTGGTCCGACTGCCCGACGAGCTTTGGTCCACCGCAAGACGAAACAGAAAACTGAAATACTAGGACTAGGTGGCGTCTTGACTCGCACGGTAGTCGAGCGGAACACTGATGTCTGTGTGTGGCTGTTTGAGCAGGGTAGACCAGGCGTGAAAGTATACAGATGCTTACTGTACACGTCCATGATGAGTCAGTGACATAGGCTTAGCCTAGTTAGGCTTTCGTACTCGTAGTGGTGTCATTCACCATTTTCATTAACCCTGTAATACTTACTTTATTACGTATTTTAACTATAAGATGGCTGGTGCTCTTGAACGATCTACAAGGGATTTAACAGAAAAATGTACAGTGGAAAACGCCAAAAGGCTAGCTTTTCCTCTACTGGCGGTGATTCTCAGCCTACACGGATTAGGTTTCTACTTCAGCCAACAGAGTGGTAGGCTTCTGCAATTCCATTATTTTAATAATTCACACCCAACAACGTTTCTAAGTTAATGCAATAGAACTGTTGATAGAAATGTACATAACGTTTATAGGGGCAGTGTAAATTAAGATTAGTAAAATACTTTTCTGCTGATTTTTTTTAAAGGTTTTATACTGCCATTTTGAGGCGACTCGTACCAAAACAATAACAACAGACCTTTGCTAATGCAAAACAACCTACATTACCTAGGCCTAGGCCTAGATAGAGAGGCAGAGCCTGTCATTTTAATTACAAGTAGGCCTACGGTAGGCCAAACCCAGCTGTACATGTAATGACATGTGTTGTTCTTTGGAGTTGTTCCTATTGTTTTTCCTTTTATATTTGAGATTTTGATATAATTATGTAAAATTTTATGTCATATCCTGTTATTAGGTTATGATGGGCGACGCATCATGTCGCCGAGGGACTTTGATGAAGTGAAATACATTGTGAGGCTTACATCATTTTGTGGCACTCAAAATTCAATAGGCCTTTTTCACGAATCGGTAGACATATTGAAGTGATGACAAACATTGCGAATCAGCGGTGCGTAACCAACAGAAATAAGATAAGCTCTTGGGCCGATTTTCTGATGTCATGTTATTTAAAAAATCATAACTCCATAACGGGGCATCTTATCCGTCCCCTGAGTTATCTCGGAACAAAAACAGACCATCGCGAGGCCTGTTTTTTTCCTGAAATCTTCCGAGTTGTTGTTGCGCATGCATCATGTCCATATTTTGACCTTTTTGCGGGCTGTGTTTTTTTTTTTTTTAGTTCGAACGAATGGCGGCAGCGATGGAAAACGTATCAACATTACTACCATTTGTTAATAGGCCTAGACCTAAAATCAAAAGAAATCTCGCTAAATTTCACATGTCTGACCATGGAATAATTATAATCTTGTTAATTCGGTACCAGGCCTAGTTTAGTAGTTAATATGTAATTCGGACAACCTACAACTAGCCTAGGCCTACTAGTACTACCATAGACCTCTAGGCCTAGTCATAATATTCTTCCGAGTTTTCCCGAGATTTCTCATGGTTTGAAAGTGCATGCGTGAAACGAACCAAAAATCTCGGAATATCAAATTTGTTACAACTTGTTAATAGTTGTTAAAAGTTGTAATAATTTTTGCTAGTGTGAAATGGGTATTAGTAGTGTATTAAAATAGGCCTATGCATTACAGTGCAGTAGCATAGGACTTTCATGTTGTTACTGTTCCAAGAAGCGATAATATACAGATTTCTCTTTAATTATAAAGTACAATTTATGTTTTATAAAGAGGTATAGCATAGTAAATCATGTTTTTAACACAGGAAACTCTCATATGGTAACTAAAACAATGCTAGTTCAGAGTATTACTAGTACTACTGCACTGTAATATACCTATTTTAATACAATACTGAGATAGGCTTTTCTTTTTAAATCTTGATTTCAGAGGTCAAAAAAATGTTTCAATTTTTTTTCAATCATATAGTGGTGTAGAATAGTCTTTTAAGAACATTTTGCTGGAAAAATTTTTGGATACGGTGCTTCGTTATGGAGTTATGATTTTTTAAATAACATGATGTCAGAAAATAAGCCCAAAAGCTTACCTTATTTCTGTTGGTTACGCACTGCTGATTCGCAATGTTTGTCATCACTTCATGATGTCTACCGATTCGTGAAAATGGCCTATATGAGAAGTAGTCCCAATGTAGTTCTTCCTTTATAGTTTGAATATTAAGCAAAAATCAATATATACTAACATTGAGTTGAAGATTTTTCAGTATGTAATTATTTTAAAGCTTGATTCCAAACTGAATAATAAGTACCAAATTGTCAAGATTTTACTTTGTGTAGGATTTTGCTAATGTTGAGTTGAAGATTTTTCAGTATGTAATTATTTTAAAGCTAGATAGTAATACAGTACCAAATTGTCAAGATTTTATTTTGTGTATGGTGCATAAAACAGTGTACTAAAAGTATGCTGTTTCCAAGGCTTAGTTATAAATTTGGTAAAATGACAGTAGGCATATAAGAAACAAAATATATACTACTGTAGTTTATCTTGAATCTAGGTGTCAGAGGGAACTTGTTGTAGGTATAGTCAAACAATTCATTATACATAATGTTTCCTATGTACTTTCGTTTTTCTTTCAATACTAATGTATTTTTGGATAGGAATGGTGTTTATAGGCTGCTTGGTCATTGACCCCTTGGGTGAGGCACAGTAGGAGAAATTCTTGTAACCATTGTGGTAAGGCCCAGAATATTGCCATCATTAAGTGATGGATGGTAGGCATACTTTGTTGGGAAATACCACATTATGAAATCACTGGGTGATCAAGCTTGGAACCAATGAATTTGAAATAATTGTTAGAATCAAGGAGGGGCTATTCACCTGTATAATCAACAGGGTATCCTAATTTGTTCACCTTTCTCAACAGTCAGTTATACCATGGCTGTATTATTGAGAAGATCATCACTCGGCAACAGATCCCTTTTGACGTGAGAAACCAATGTGTTCCTCGTCTTTGGATCATGCGAAGGTGTCTACATTAACTTTTTAATTTTTTTTCATTTCAAGAACATGGCAACAGTTAGGCTTTTATGCACTTCAACACAACAGTTGTGTGATAAACCGTTCGATTTTAACTCATTAATATCTTTAAAAAATATCAATGTTCCACTGACTTTTAGTATGTTATTATGTGTGCATTTCAGAAACATATTTCGCAAAATATTTATGTTGCAATTACCGTTCATTATAATTTTGTCTAAAGATTGACTGGTTCGACTATAAAACTGAGGTGAAGTAAAACCGAAAATTACTCTCACTTTGGGATTGAATTTTCGAATAGTTAACCCTTGTTAACCCTAAAATGACTTAGTTTGGTCATCAATCATTACTTAATCAATATCTGTTGAAATCTTGATAATTCTAATAGAATTATCGAGTTTGATCTAATTTATGAAAATTCAAGTTGAATACTGTGCCATACTTTCAAAGCTCATGTAAATTTTTCATTAAATTCGAATTTTTTTTTTTGGAAAATATTATTATATTTGGTAAATGTATTACTGTTGCTTCTAGGTAGAAACAATTGCGCAGCCTTAGTGACTGTAAGTGGTGCGCATTGAGAAAAGAAGGTGCTTTCCATTTTGCCATGTTCAATTTTTTTGGTAAACTAAGCCCGCTGAGCATTTGGTGGCGGGGAACACATTAGACTTCAAAGGCATCATGTAAACAATTTTCGTGCGCTGCGGCAGCTTAGCTCTCCACTCATTTACATAGCGCTGCAAGTGTGTGAACTTCATATTCAGGATCATGTTCTCTTTCATTTCGTCACTGTTTTTACGAAGAGACACAAACCTCAATTTAGACGAAAACAACGTTTTGAGAAAAACACGTTTGAAGTGGACTACTTCACAAATCCGTAAATTTCACTCAAGATATCAAAATTTTGAATATTTTTTTACATATGTTTGAAGATAAAGCATTATAAAACAATTAAAATGTTCAATTTAATTTTCTTTTCTTAAGTTTAACCCTTTCTAGTCGTATGACATCGCGATGACGCCCTCTTTGACCATACTTTATAGCGAGGGGCATCGTACATACGCCCTGTATAGATTTCATTTTAATAATAATAATTTTTTTTATAGCTAGGCTGCCCTCTGAAGGATTGTTTGAGAGTGATGTAGGAGTATTTCTGTAGAGGGCCTCCTATATTCAGAACAAATAAAATGCCTGCGCCCAGTAAAAACCCGACATTTAGTGTCGATGATGTAATTTCTCAGCTTTGGTACAGCCTCAGGCAATGGTAATGGGGCAGACTGGAAAGAATTAATTAACCTGTTAATTAGCGTAAACAGTTTGTAAAAATGATAAAAATACCCAGCGTAGTTTGTTTACACATGAAAAAGAAAATCCTTTTTTACGTACTATACATGCTCCATTGTCAGACACAAACTTTGTTCTCGCCTATGTTTTACCAATGTAGTCAAAGGTGATTACAGGCCTACAAACCTATTCTGCTAAAACCATTGTTTATGATAATTTCACACATGTGTATTATAGCCTATTCCATGTTATACTGCAGGTAGGGTACCGCTATGCCTAGGAAAGTTAAGGAACATAATCTTTACGTCTAGCCCCAGCCAGACCTCTCTACTCGATGACAACAATAGCAAATTTGCCACACACGAGTCTTCCGATAACCTACTGAAAGTTTGTCTGTTCGTGAAAATGAAAAATCCATTTTTTATCAGTTTGTGTGCTATGGCTAATTAACCTAATTAACAAAATAGTGTACTGTAGTTGCACTCTTAACAATTAGGTGAAAAGGTAAAGTTTGATGTACATAATCATGTCAAAGAAAAAAAAATTGAAAAAATATGATTTTTGAAGTTTGTGTCTCTTCGTGGTGTCGGTGATGATTTGCTTAGCACTAGAAAAGGATCACAGAGAAATTGAAATTGAAATTATTTGATATCCTTACCAACAGTATTGTTTTGGACTTAATTTTAAAAATAAAACAATTTCTGGTCTGACATTTAAAAAAGAACCAACAGTATAGTTTGGACTTGATTAAAATAAAACAATTTCTGACATTTAAAAAAAAGAAGAAAGGAAGCCAGGCCTTTTCTGACCATCTGCTTATTTCAGATAATTATTGTGATGAGCTATGTCTGTTCCAGCAACTTTATCTAAAAGTATTGCAAATGCAATGCTGCTTACTACAATGAATACATTACAATACAAATCTTTCTTTATTTTGAAAAGCTCTTTCAATATAATTTAAATTTGTCAGGAGGCAAGTTTGTCAAGGGGGTGAGTTTGTAAGGGGTGAGTTTGCTATTGGTTGAGTTGACTAGTTCCCCAGTAAATATAATATAGTTTTGTGACTAGAAATTGCAAATTGCAAGTGAAGTGCTGCGAAGTACAACTGCATATAAATGTTCTTCGAACAAAATTATTTATGCGAGTCAAGTGAAAATAATGAATAATAAAAATATAACAAATAAATATGAGACACGACCCATTGTCCATAACACTGACGAGCTGACGTAGAAACATAGTAAAAACGAGCGTTGGTACCGTGTATGCCAGTCTGAAGCGTCGCCTAAATGTAATAATTAGCACACTGAAATAGGCTAGTAAATAAGTTTAACTGGGTTCGTAAATAATATTGCCTCAAAATATTGTGGCTGAGACATCGGCCGATTAAACGTAGAAATAGGAAACCTAGAAATATAGTAAAAACGCTGAATAGTAATACTCAGCGTCGCGACTTGCGGACGTTGGTACGTGTAGGTTAGTCTACAAACGTCGCCTAAAGTAATTGATTTTACCCGGCAGAACGAAAGAAGGAAAATCCACTTTTCAGTCGTCTTAGGCGCTTGTTTTTTGACAAACAATGACCTTTCAGAGGTCAAATTGCTGTCAAGAATATGAATTGGCTGCTTCGCAGCAATAAAGGGTGTACTGCACAAATCTGCCTACAAAAGAAGTCTATAGGGTATTTGAAGGTGATTAATTGTGCTACCAAGTCCTCAAAAATACCCCCGTAAATGCAGCACCTACCCGTATAGAAATATTTAAGAGTGAGCCCCCCTGGTGTAGTATTCACAACACGGAATTACAATTGCATTACAAGTCGGTCTTAAAGCAAGATTTGGAATACTGTATCTTAATTTATGAATGATTTAATGTTGGGTTAATCTAGATTCAACTTGTTTAACATGATTTTTTCATAAGTGAATTAAAAGCGATTCCAAGAATGAAACAAAACAAAGTAATGATTATAAGGCCAATTAAAAAAAAAAGAGTAGTTTCTCATGCTAATATTTTGGAAAAAGGAGAATGAGGGAACTCTTTTCTATTTTTGTTCAACTCCGAGATGGCAAATTCAAGATAGTCGATGGGAAACAGCTCTACTTTCTCACTTGCTTTCAAGACACATTGAAAGCAAATGAAAAAAAGCACTATTAAACATGTTCTTACCATGTGTTCCCAACCACGAACGATTGAGAGAAGAATCGTACTGATGTGAATAAACTGAATTAGCACCTCCAGCTATTACTACAGTAGTCACGTGACATACAGTAGTGGACACTAAATGTAAACAGCCACATCGTAAACCACAGTGCGCTCACTGAACACAGTATATTGAGAGAGTTATGATGTTTTTGAGACAGTGACCCAAAGTAAAGTAAGGCAGTAGGCCTATATTAAGTCTGACCAGGGCCTGGAACGGAGGAAGTTGTTATGCCTCAACTATCTCTGTAGTCGAGTAGGTTTAAAGTAGAAAATAACCCTTAACGGTACTGATTGCTCAACCAAACTTGGTATAGGAAACAGGCTGGTGATAATAGGCCCGGTATGGTTCATCTTAATGCCAATACGTAATTAATAATATCTGTTATGTCATATGATGATCATTATCCTCGGTAGTAACTACAAACATCCTATGATTTAATTTTGGATTTAAAATAACGGTAAAATAATACTCTTGCAACGATTGGGGCGATTCGGTTTTTTTTGTTTAATTCTGCGATAGCATTTGCCATGAATAATATCCTTGACTTCGGCCAAGGCTTAAAAAATACCTCAGCCGGTGACGACTCCACTGGAGCAATATGCACGTTGTGAAGGTACTGTAATTTCCTTGAAAAACTTCAGGCTTTATTCCCACTATTTATTGGAGCCTTACGAAACCAAACTGATACTGTAAGTGTTCGAAATTTAATTTTGGAACACTATAATTCAAACATTTGCAACATCTATGATGTGACTTACATCAACAACAAGATGAAGCCATATTCAGTGCACTGTCGTCTTGCAATCTCGATAGACATAAAACAAACCCAAATACCCACTGTATGTCGCGTGACCTGAGCCACTGATTCAGTCTATTAGCCAGATTTTTGTACATACACTATCGTAAAATTAAGGAAATTAAAAAAAAAAAGAAAAGTGGTGAGGCAGAGAAAATGGATGCACAAGCGGACGAAAAACTAGTAATTTTTTTATTTGTTCTAATGCTACTTTTACATAATTTAATGTACATTCCTTTATCTGTTAATTGGTATTATTTATATTTCTAGGATATGATACATGTGATGTTCTGTTAACCACTGGCTACTATTTAACACCCAAGCAGTGGCAGCCGAAGGGATGTATGATGCACAAGTACAAGGCAGGGTAAAGTTAACCGTGCGATCAACTCTAAAATGCTTATTTGTACAGCTGATCATTACACGTACCAACTGCAAATCATACAGCCAGCCATCCAAACAACTCCAAATTAATTTGCCTTACCGACTGAACAAACAACTGTTATTTTCTCGATTGTCATGTTTTTTTATACGTGTTCTAGCCAAAATTAAACAAACGATACGAAATATTTCAAATATCAAGCTGAAATATATCACAACAACCTATTTTTATGTGTACATGAGTTGCAATGATATAATGATTTGAAATGCTGTATTCTGATGGTACATGGATAGTCACAGTACACTTTATTTTTAGAAATTATAGTTAAGAATATACAGTAAGACTCATTATTGTTTCATTTAATCCATATTATCATTATTATTAACAAAGAGTCCACATTCACCAACAGAGGAGGTGGTCTACACTAATACAGAAGCCCATGGTTGGGGCTGAGCTCATTAGCTCAACCCGCCCTCGATAAACTAACGTTACGTTATCTCACTATATTAATTGGATTAACACATTATCAAGAGAAGTACTGAGTGTTTAACACTGGTGTCCTTGGATTCAATTATAGGTAAACGGATTAGTTTAGCTTTTTTATGAGGTTTTAATTGTTCTTTACCGCCGAAAGTGCGGTATTCTAACGTTAGTTTATGGAGGGCTGGTCGGCCTAATGTAAGCCAAAACAAAACCCCTCTACTGTAGATGTCTGGAAATGACATTCTCTAATAATTAATTTAAAAATACTTAATATTTAATAAGTTTTAATTTTAAAATAGTAAGTTCAGTATTCTAACTACATCAAAGCTAGTTGTAATATAAAATACAGTAGTTATTGCCATAATCTAAATCTCTTTCATTCTAGCGGTTTTCTCATTTAGGCCTATAATTTACAATTCAAAGACACATTCTTAGGTCTACATTAATCATTACATAAAATGGGTGAACACGTTATAATCACTTTGAAGATTTTCTTATGGCTGGCCATGCAAATAATCGATCAAGAGCTGTTCACATGTCATCTGTGCAAGAAATCAATTTGTTACACGGCTAGGCCTAGCCAATAATCAGTTGCTTTGGAGTTGATTGCACAGCCGGTTGTGCGAATCACCTTGGCCATCCAGAACATATTAAATTTTTGTATTGTTTATATTGAATTTCATTTCATTTTAGGCACAAGCGCCAAGGGTATGCCAATATGTGAACATAATCACTGTCCTACTTGGCATATCCATATAACAACATGTTTTTTAACATCTGATTTCATGTTACTGTTGGCAGAGATAGAATTCAATTGCATAATTTACACTTCCTGTCAACAAGACATTTCAGCCATCTGTTAAACGTGACAGGAAATATAGTCAGTATACCAGGAAATGAAATGCTTACCCCTACAGAGAACCAAATTTCTTGCCATGCGCACCGTTGTTGGTTTTTACCGCACCAGCATATCTGCATATTAAAATGTCATTCTATATACAGTATTGAACTAATATTAATAAACAGAATTAAACTTAATGTTAATGCAGTTTGTGTTTCCTGAAGCATTCTAAACTAGCTCAGCTACTGTATAGTAGGTGAAATGCAAGATTACCATGAAATGAAATTCTCGCCCTCAACTTAACATTACGCAAGGTAGACAAACTAAAAAAAAAAAATAAACCAACATTTTTTACAAGTTCACAATCAGTATTAATTTTTTTTTTGCTTTTCCATATATTTTTTGCATATTAATTTTCTAATTTTTTTTTACTTTCAACAGTAGTTCTCACTATGTCAATGAAGGAAAGCAAGTTCTGTTTTAGAAACAGTCATAGTAAATTGAGTTATCAAATATTTTTTGTGCTGGAATATAACCCGTATTATTAATTACAGGTGTTCTTGTTTTGGCTTTAAAGTTTACTGAAAATTTCCATTTTGCTTGTAGAGAAATTGGACGGTGTCTTCAAAACCAGCGTGTCGCATTCATTGGTGACTCTAGAGTGCGACAATTATATAACTCATTCCTTACAGAATTTACTGGCAAAGAATTTCATGATGCTATTGTGGTAAGTCACTAGGACCTTCGTAAATGTATTATACCACTTTTAAATACAGAGTAGAGTAAAATTAAAATTAACAGATATGGAAAGTCATTCGTTCCTACAGCAATTAGATTTTATAATGTTTTAGTGTAATTTTCTTATACCTTGTTTAGCGAACCCACCGACAACCAATAATGATGATTTTGAATAAACATAAAATTTTATTTTTGGCCAATTAGCACACCCGCCGCCATGAAAAAATGGAAATTTAAAAAAAAAAAAAAAGTTTTTCTTGAAATGTCCAAAAATATAGATATGTATTTCTTCCTAATTATATAAATTTAAATCATTTACCCCTCCCATTACTGCACTGTTTACTGTACATTCAACAATTTTATTTTTATTTCCTTCCCCATCTGGATGTTTATGGCAAAACTATTTCTCTGATGATCTTTAAAAAAACATGAGTTTGCGAAACAATGAATAAAAAATGTCTCGCCTTAGTAGAATGTTGGCATAAAAGGAACTAAAGTAAAAATAAATTATATTGTATTGTTTTTTTTTACTCCAAAGCATTCAGATCTTTCACATACTGAGCAGTCCACAAACACGTTTGTAGTAAGTTTGTATACTCTTTAATTTTTTGTTTATATCCAACATCGTTTTGAAACTTGCTGTCTCTTGCACCATATATAAGTGTTATTATTTATTATTAAAATATGTAAAGCAAGTAATAATTTTTGCTTCATTTTTACAATGCATTTATTGTAGTCATTTGTGTTTATCATAATTATCAATATATTTATAATTATTATAATAAATATTCGGCCCTATAAAAAATATTATTAGTGTTTCACCCTATCTGGGCAGGAAAAGTGATGAGGGAGGCTTTTTTTTAAATATTTTTTATTTTGCTAAAGCCAAATATCACCCTTGGGTTGTTTGCTGGTGCATTGATATTCAAAGTAAAACATGATTTAGATAATGCAAACAATATCTACTAACTATTTAATAAAATAAATGAAAAAAAAATAAAATTAAAAAAAATAAATTTTTTTTTTTTCAAACAATTTTTTTTTTTTAGTACCATAAAAGACATGTGCCCGGGGTGATAAACTAATAATTTTTTTTATTGGGCCTTATGCCATAATGATAGTTCAATGTGTTTGGTGGTTAAGATTCCAAACTTGCCTTTCTAGAATCCTAGAATGCCAGGGTTTCTCTCATAATCAAAAAGTTTCTTCCTAATGCCTCATAATTTAACTAAATCCTGGTACAAACTGCATACTGTAATATAGATGTTAAAATATAATATGCAGTAAAGGTAGGTAGGTAGGTAGTGGAGATGTGCGCTTAATAAATCTTATTATTATTATTATTATTAATAACCCACAACTAGCACTGAATTACGTAGGCTTTTTAGTGACTAGCAGTTGTAAAGAGGCACTTCATGGTAGCTAAATGTTCACATAATTCTACAACAGCAGCTGAAATTAACCTTAACATTGGGGTAACCCCCTACTTTTCCGAAAGATGCAATGGGTTCTTAAAGTGCACACAAACCAGATGTATAAACTGGACCTCCATGTTAAGTCCTTATCCGAGAAGACTTGGTTCTACCAACTGGACCATGGGCAAGAAGCAGTTGGAACCAGCGCCAATGCTAAGACTGTAACTAAAGGCGCCCTTACCTTGCCTAAACATGAATAACATGAATAGCAAAATATTTTAAAATACCTTTATAGATCAAATAAGACATTAAAATATCTTATTTGATCTATCAAATATTATGTTTATTATTATTTTTTGATTTATATGTTTACCAGAGTATTTTCATTTTCTTATAACAGATAATTTTGAACCATACATAAACTTGCATTTTCAAACCTGGTGGACAGGTTTTTTTTTTGTTTTTAACCTTAATTAACATGATAGAAAATAGGTAGATATTCTCAGTGCACCTATTTTGGAATCAACAAGCAAAATCAATTTTAGAAATATGAAATTTGCACTGTATGAAAAACATATTTCTAATTGTCTCTTTCATTCGCAGGAGTTTCGATGGCAACCTCACATTAACGATTCGACCATTGACTTGTATCAGACATGGATATCTGTAAGTAATTTTCCATAAACCTATGAAGAAATTTTCCTTAATTATGGTATGAAAGAAAATTATACTGTTTTACTTCGATATTGTAAGTTTCCTACAGTCCTGTATAGTGTTTTATTTATTTAATTTTTTAATTCATATCTTAAACTTCACTATTATTCCATTCTCTTAAAATATTAGGAGTGTCCAACTTATGTTTCTAACAGTTTATTTAAAATTTTTAATAATAGATTACCTCTAAATATGTTTGAGTTAGTTGATCATTGGCATAAAACAAGATTTATTATTGCCTTTCTCTTCTGGTGTTAATTTTTTTCGATTTCTAATTTTGCTTTTTTTTAGGGCTATCATTTGGGGCTTGCCATACCAAAACCAGTCACGTCAGTGACAAAAACATGAAATGACTTTTTAATATTCATATTCTCTACATTATAAGATTTAAAATAATGGGTCTACTTGCTATATTGCTACAGTTACTGTATGCTAAATGTAGCTTCTGTGTAAAATAATTTTTAATGGAATTTGTGCAAAATAAATACATAATAATAATAATAATTATTATTATTATTGCACTAAATTATACAATACTGGTAAATTCTTATGGTAATTACTCTGTTTAACAATTAGCGACAGTACGCTGGTTTTGCGTTGTTAAGCCTTATTTGGAATTATATTTGCCTTGAATTATTAATATACATCAAAACATGTCTTTTGTTCTGCTAAGATTTATTCTTTTAAGAATATAATAAACAAGGCCATATGTTGATAAATATTCATCTGATTTTTGTACTGTATAACAAATGTATTTAAATGGTCTTTTTTTTCAAACCCCACAATACAGTATGTCAGGTTTAATTGAAATTAAATTGTTGGTTTGAGAAAAATATTAGGTGTGCCCAACTTATGTTTCTAACAGTTTATTTTAAATTTTTAATAATAGATTACCTCTAAATATTTTTGAGTTAGTTGATCATTGGCATAAAAAAAGACTTATTATTGCCTTTCTCTTCTTGTGTTAATTTTTGTCGAGTTTGAATTGCTTTTTTGGGGCTTGCCACGCCAAAACCAGCATTAATGACTAAATAAAACTTGAAAAAAACTTTTTAATATTCATATACTCCACATTATAAGATTTAAAATGATAGGTCATTTATTAGAATCCATTTAATGTATTGCCACATTTATTCTAAAAGTAGTTTCTCTGTAAAATAATTTTTAATGGAATTTGCATAAAATAAATAATTAATAATAATTATTATTATTGCACTAAAGTATACAATACTAGTACATTCTTATGGTAATTACTCTATTTAACAATTAGCGATAGTATGCTGGTTCTTATTTGGAATTATGTTTGCCTTGTATTAATAATATACAATACATCAAAACATGTCTTTTGTTCTGCTAAGATTTATTCTATTCAGAATATTATAAACAAGGCGATATGTTGATAAATATTCATCTAGTTTTTGTACTGTATAACAAATTTATTAAAATGTCTGTGTTTTTTCAAACCAACAATATATCAAGGTTAATGAAATTAAATTGTTGGTTTGAGAAAAAGTAATATTAATATAAGGTCGGCTGTAGTATGTTTTTGTTTTCATTTCAGATTTTGTTTATAATTTTTTTTTCTTTTATCAAAATTTGGGTTATATAGTAGAAAGTTATACTTGAGCTGGATCTCAGGCCTGATATGAGCTGTGCTATTTGTGTTGCCTCTGGCATAAATTTCAATAATAATATACAATAAAGTTCGCTTACACATTCATGATACATTAATCTTTGTGACAATATATTACAGTAGAACCTCTCATTTACGAACCCCGATTTTACGAATTCCCGATTTTACGAACGTAATATAAAGGTGATGACGTCATAAAAATTGAAGCGAAAGATTAAAAAAAAAAAAAAAACCCGCTCGAATTGTACCTGTTATTACCATGCATACAACACAACACAACATACTATACAGTACTATATAATTCTCAAGTGAAGGAGGCCCTCTAACAGGCCTCTTCAAAGTTTTTTATGGCTTCACACATGTGCATGCGACAAATTTTACTTCTCTTTCAAACATCGTTTTCAGTTTTAAAATTCAACATAGTGCCTGATTGTTTTATTGATTGATCAATATATATAATAAACAAGTATCTATGGAAGTTGTGTTGGAATAAAATCCACAATCTAGGTATTTAAGAAGGTAACAATGTCCGATAAAAACAAATTTGTGCAGGGCCTAGAGTGGGATCAGAATGCTTAGAAGCTCAGGCTGCCAACTGTAGGCCTAGGCCCCCTCAGACTTAGCTGCGTAAGCCTGTAGGCCTAGTCTAGGCCTAGTTTATGCTAGTGTAAGTAGTATCAGTGCAAATATATAGGAATTTGGGTCAACCCTGATTTTACGAATACCCGAATTTACGAACGGCTCTGGGCCCGTGCAGTACGTAAATGAGGGGTTCTACTGTATATTATTTTATTTTTTCAATATTAAATTATGTAATTTTCCTGTTTGCTTTGTATTTTAGAATATTTTAATCACATTTAATATATTTGTTTTCTTATGAACAAACAATCAGTGTTTCTTGTTTTACTTTTTTTCTACAAGGGTAAAATACAGAAGCCAAATCTTATTATTCACGGTGCCGCTACCTGGGCTATAAAAGATTTCAAGGGAGAGTTCTCAGCCATAGAGCAGTACAAAAGTAAGGCATTAGATAGTAGGTTTGACAACCCAGTGCCTCCAATGCACAATGGATGCACTCATAGAATCAATGGGCATGTTTCTACTGATAAACACAGAATAATCGATTTTATTTAACTGCTTTTTTAGTGAGTGCCAGACAGCTTGCCCGCATTGTAACTGCATCTTTGCTTTTACGAAAATCGGTTTTCATGTCGGAACTTACGTCACCATTTTGTTTATACAACACGTTTTCAAAACTGTATAGTATCTTTCTCACCAACAAGATAATATACTTGAATTATTGTCTTGTTTCATGTGAATTTCGGTCATGATGATGAGGAGGAGGACACAGTGTGCAGTGAGATGTCGAATGCTTTCAGCTGTGCTCATCGGCACAACAAAAGAGGAAAACGGTAGGCCCACAAGAAGAGTGGAGAGGCCTAAGCCCAATATATCTCCCCACAACATAATTACAAAACGAGTAATTTCATCACTCCACAAGTTGTTGATGATTTAGCTTGTAGACCTACAGTACGACATGAAGAAGAGGACTAATCATTTTGAAAGTTCACGCGTGATATGATCGTGGTTCAACCTGGAGGTCACATTTCACCTGATAATTGCTATTTGTGTTGCTGCTAAAAAGTGCACAGCCAAAATCGGTTATTTGCTGTTCAAACACACTATCCATTATGTGTATTCAATCAATTTTTTTTAATTGCTTTTTCGAACTGGTCCCGTTTCTACTGCGAGAAAAAATGCGATTTTTAATCAATTGTTTTTCCAGTAAAAACAGGCCCAATGACTTTTTGCCTGAACTTGTGTCTTCTTTTTCCATGTGTACCATGGGAACTTTTTAAGGTAACTACCAGTAAGAGTATAAAACAGTTCATGACAGCATCAACACTGAGTGGATATATTTTATGAAAACATAAAGAATCTTGAAACATTCTTTGACATGCAGTGGTCGGAACAACACATGACCAGAATGACACCAAGAAGAAACAACCCAAGCTGACACCAGGACAAAACCAACTATTGTACACAACTGTAGCTTCTTAAGGCTTTTTTTGAGGTCAATACATTAGGATGGGTTGTAATTATAACATCATAACTTTACAGTACATAGTAATCATGGCCTTCATAGAAGTCTGATTATTATTATTGTTGTTGCTGTTGCCGCTGTCATCAGAACGTTTAGTAATAGTTATTATTTTTAACGATGGTTATTATTGCTGTTATTTATTAATGTTTTTTTCTGTTCATTTTATTATTAGCTAATTTGAGCAAAGTAGCATTACAAATGGACACACTGAACAAGGACCCAGACGTGAAAATTGTGTGGATATTGCAAGGTTAGTCTTTTGTCGTTAAATTTATAGGAAATAATAGCTAGGCCTATTAACAAGACTTTGATCACATTAAATGCCATTTAACATTTATCTCTTCAAACAGACTCTGCCTTGCCATTTGGATACTCCTTTTTTTATCATGCCTACAGAAACTTTTAATGTTTACAGATATGACTGTATAAGCTCTGGTCTAGACATGATGATAATGGTGATACAAGCTTACCTTGTATACCTGACATTATCCAGGGCAGCGACGATAGTGCTTCTTCCATGGCCCACTCCTTTACTATAAAGCATGATCAAATTTTGTTCTGACAGGCAGAAATTTAATAGTGCATGCTTAGCTTAAAGCTCTGTCCTAAATATCAAGTTATTAGTCCATATATGGCTGTGATATGACATCTTCATGCCAATATCTGATTAAATCACTGAGTGTGGGATGAACTTTTTGTTGTCTATATAAACACTACTCTCCAAGATGTGATCAGACATGATTGAATCCAACAGAAATAGTGCATGCTTGGCTAGCTCTCTACCCTGTCAAGTACCATAAAACCTTGAATTGAAGCCCTGAGCTTTTTTTTCTTTTTGCGAACTTTGGATGGGCTTTTTTTTAAGGCTACTTTTGCAAAGTAAAGAGGGGGGCTTCTTTTCAAAATGAATGCTGTAAATTTTGTGAATTTGTACTATGAAACAATAACTAAGGCCACTGTAACATCAACAATAATAATAATAATAATAATAATAATAATAATAATAATAATAATAATAATAATAGTATTAATAATAATAGTATTAATAATAATAATACTGTAATAATAATAATAATAATAACAATAAAAGCAATAATTAATAATGTACTACAATAATTATAATAACATAAGTCTGCTTGATACAATACTCATGTAATAACAATCTATTGTGCCTTTACCTTGTACCTTGTTTTCCATGAATTGTAAAATCAACAATGTTTACCTTGTTGCAAATAAAGAGATTTCATTGATTGTATTTGATTCAATCTGTATCGTGAAGTGTATTTAACTGGCATTAAATCAACAAAACTATGTATAAGCCAAGCTTGTTTCAATATATTTTGTTTATTTGAAATTTATGTACGCCGTATGTACTGTACTATCTCGAAAAGAAGCCTATGCCAGCTTGAAAAGAAGCCCATAGGCTTCTTTTCGAGATATTCAAGGCTAATTTTGTTGACAAAGCGTACAATGATCATTTCTTGAGTGTTTCCTTAGTAAACCAACCTTTAATACCAATGAGTGATATTGTAACCAGACAGTACAAACACTTAAATCTACTTGACAAATCTGATAGTATAAGCAGAATGTATAATTAAATCATACGTTGTAGATTATTAAAAAGTGGCATCTCATTCTCACCGCTGACAGATGGTATTAATTGTAATGCAAAAATATAATTAGAATGTGCATCCAATGTTCAAATTATACCCAAACACATATGTGTGCTGTACCTGCCATGTGTAATCAATGTTTTGTTTTGCATTTTAATATTTTGGTTCAATTTTGTGTATTATTTTTTATGTTTACTACAGATACGATTGTAAGGGCAGGCCCTAGAAAAGACCCGCTCTGGTCTAGACATGAGGATAATGGTGATACAAGCTTACCTTGTATACCTTTGGGGGGGGGGAGGGGGTGGTGTTAGAATTGGCATTACCCAGGGCAGCGACGAGGATGCTTCTTACATGGCCCCACTCCGTTACTATAAAGTATGATCAAATTTTGTTCTGACAGGCAGAAATTTAATAGTGCATGCTTAGCTTAAAGCTCTGTCCTAAATATCAAGTTATTAGTTCATATATGGCTTTGATATGACATCTTCATGCCAATATCTGATTAAATCACTGAGTGTGCGATGAACTTTTTGTTGTCTATATAAACACTCTCCAAGATGTGGTCAGACATGATTGAATCCAACAGAAATTTAATAGTGCATGCTTGGCTAGCTGTCTACCCTGTCAAGTACCATAAAACCTCGAATTGAAGTCCTGGGCTTCTTCTTTTTTTTTTTGCGAACTTTCCATAGGCTTCTTTAAGGCTACTTTTGCAAAGTAAAGAGGGGGCTTCTTTTCAAAATGAATGCTGTAAATTTTGTGAATTTGTACTATGAAACAATAGATAAGGTCACTTTAACATCAATAATAATAATAATAATAATAATAATAATAATAATAATATTAAAATAAAAGTAATAACAATATATAATATAATATTAACAAGCAATAATTAATAAGAATGTACTACAATAATTATAATAACAAAAGTCTGCTTGATACAACTATACTCATGTAATAATAAAGTACTACTTTTTTTTTGTATAGTATCTTATTCATATTTTAAATATTTTTGTACAGTAATCTATTTCATATTTTAAATATTTTATATAGTATGTGTAATTAATATTGATGTTTTCCATGAATTGTAAATTGTAAATTCAACATTGTTTTAATATATTGTTGCAAATAAAGAGATTTGATTTGATTCAATCTGTATCATGGAGTGTATTTAACTAGCATTAAATCACCAAAACTAGCTATAAGCCAAGCTTGTTTTCAATTTATTTATTTATTTTTTTAAAAATTCATGTACAGTGTGTGTACTGTACTATCTCAAAGAGAAGCCTATGCCAGCTTGATATTCAAGGCTAATTTTGCAAACTAAAGGATGGACTTCATTTTGAGATTAAGCCCACTGGGCTTTAATTCAAAGTTTTACAGTATGGGTATGTTCATTGTGCCCCTATGTCAGTAAATTTTTTTCACATTAATCTTCCTATTGTGTACAAAATGATCATTTCTTTAGTGTTTCCTTAGTTAACCAACCTTTAATACCAATGAGTGATATTGTAACCAGACAGTACAAACACTTAAAATGTACTGGATAAATCGGATAGATAAGCAGAATGTATGATTAAATCATAATGATCATTTCTTGAGTGTTTCCAATAGTAAACCAACCTTTAATACCAATGAGTGATATTGTAACCAGACAGTACAAACACTTAAATCTACTTGACAAATCAGATAGTATAAGCAGAATGTAAATTAAATCATACGTTGTAGATTATTAAAAATTGGCATCTCATTCTCACCGCTGACAGATGGTGTTAATTATGCAAAAATATAATTAGAATGTACATCCAATGTTCAAATTATACCCAAACACATATGTGAGCTGTATCTACCATGTGTCATCAATGTTTTGTTTGGTTTTTTAATATTTTTGTCCAATTTTGTGTATTATTTTTCTTTTGCAGCTCCAGTAGTTGAACCATTATTAAGTGGACCAAGAAAAGTAATCACTAACAATCAAATTGATCTTTATAATGATGTAGCATATGCACAGTTGTAAGTGTATTGCTGTTTTGTCACTCTTCTACTTAACTCTCTGCGGTAGCGTATCTATTCCGTGCATGCAGAGCGCAGGCCTAGTTTTTACGCTCAAGTAGATAAAAATTGCCTTGTATCACCTTACCTCGTGCACGCTACTCACAGCTGCAGAAGTAGACTACTTGTTCTGCAGACTGACTTGTTGAATGGTTCCACCTTTACATATTGACCCATTGAAACTGTTGAAATAAAAAAAATCTCGCTCACATAGTTAAAAATCACGTCATATCACCTTAGGCTAAAAAAAAAAATGTTGTTTGCCCTCCAGCACCCTCCCCAGCTCAATGAAAAATAGGGGCGGCGTTTATTAAAAAAAAAAGTTTTTCTTTTTAAAAAAAGTTTTTTTTAATTTTTTAAATTTTTTTTTTACAAATTTAGGAAAGTGATCTATATAAACATTGATCTATTAAACATTGCGATTTAATATGTTAATTTTGGTGACGGGAGAAAAAAAAAGCATTAGCATTTAAAGGGCAAACAAACATTTTCTTTTAGGCCTTCTTGTAAGCTAGTTCCTTTTACATATTGAGTCCCCCACATCAACCTCCTCTTCCCACCATTTTAAGACTCCTAGATTTGCCCCTGTCTCTCTGGCCTTTGACTTTATCTAGAGGAACTAATAATTATTTATGAAATTCAGTGCAAAATTCTAATATTATTAATATTGTATAATTTCGTTCTTTGTAACATGTTCAGTAGAAATCTGCTTTTGTCTCAAAGGGCCAGTTATGCTTTATAAAGTCCCTTTATCAGGCTTTGCATTGGAGTATTTAGTCATGAGTAGTATCTTTAATTTGATGTTTTTTTTTTTTAAATTTCAGTCGAAATTCAGATATTCAAGTTTGGCAGTCAGTGAGGAAAACTGCATATTTTTCTCAATCTCCTCCAAAAGATGGTCTACATGTACCTGATGATGTTATTGAAACAGTAAGTTGTTTATTACTGATTCTCTTGTGTTGTTTTTTTCATCAATTCAAATAATTTTTGTTGAGTGGTGAATCCAGAAGAGTGGGGTTTCTTTATTTTCAAATGTTAAGCATTCAAATTAATTCCCATCTGTGTTTTTTTAATTATAGGTCTATCCCAGATATTATATAAATAGCGTATTTATTTGAATAAAAACGCCCAGCTTTTAATAAACCCCTCTAGAGTCTCATTTGAAGTAAACGGATCCCTCAAATATTTTTTTCTCATGTATACATTCCCCCGCCTATAAATGACTGTAAACAAATCTAATGAAAGCAACATTAGGCGTGATCTACAAATTATCCCCAACGACAGAAACGGGTCAAACACGTTTACTATTGTTATATGACAAGATCCCAAACGCGTCTGTGAAATGCCATTTGGAAGCTTGTCGTTCGAGCCGTTTATTCCGTTTGGAAGTTAACTCCTCCCCTTTTCATATGGCTGACTGCTCGTGCCTATATTTATAATTGTAGTAGCCTGGTAGTAAAATGCTAGCCTACGCTAGGTGACAGTTCACGAAGAAATGTTTATAATAAAAGCCTAAATTTAATTATTTTTCTTGTTTGGGAAAACCCCAATGTTTCTTGTATTTTAGTAGGCTAGGCCCTACCGTTACCTGTAGGTTTTATAGAAGAAAAAGCAATCGCCAGTAACCTTGCTACCCAGATTATATTGTGCAATGTTCGTTCGAAATGACCTATCAAAACAAGTACCTTTTGCCCAACTTTCTAATTCCCACGTGCCTGCACAGCCCGCACCGCGAAATACAGTGTGTAAACACTGACCTGGATCAGCTGCAGTTGAAGAAGTTCGTTGTGGCGATATCACGTGATCGCACGTAGAACAACGTATGCTACGGCATTGTGTTTTACTGTGGCTTTATGAATTTAATACATGTTTGTATTATTATATGTATTATTATGTTTTAAAAATGGTTAAACCATGGCACATGTTTATATTGCTGAACAAGGCAGTCGGCTATTCTCTTCTTGCGGAACACAGACGCGTTTGTCGCCCAAAACAATAGAAACAATGGCAAACGCGTTCAACAGCACAAACCCGTTTAGACGCGTCTGGGACATATTCCGACTAGCTTATTAATATTCATGAGGCACGATAATTAGACGATCGCTTTCCCAGACGCGTTTGTAATACATGGTTTTCCCAGACGCGTTTCTGTCGTTGGGAATAATTTGTAGATCGCGCCTTATACTCAACACATCCTATTAATGCTCTATTCCAGTAGAATTGCATTTTTTCTAACCTGGTTGGGAACAATAAGTTTTTTATGATCACGCAGTAAAACATTTCACAGTGTTATGTGTAATTATGTAGTTCCACATTTAGAGTGGAATTAAGGGGTATTTATTTGAGTATTAAAAAAATAATAACCTAAAAAATAAAAGCCTCCCTCAAAACAAAAGGTCAACCTAGAATAAACGGCTCCTCAAAAACTCTTCCCAACATTAAACACTTGAGGCGTATACTCAAATAGATATGGTGTGTTTTTTTTATTATTCAATATATTGGTTTGTATTTATTGTATAAATATATGAATTGTTTATATTATATATAGAATTGCCACCTCCTGCTGAATTGGTTTTGCAATAAAGATATTGACCCAGCTGATGCTACTTGCTGTAAAGGATTACCATTTCCTCTTACTTTACACCAAAAGACACTGATAATTTTCTTTACTTTCTGGTAAGTTTCTTGCAACATACTTACTACTTTACCTAATCCTCATTATTCCATCTGATACATCAACAAACAAGTAATTTCACTCATTCCTACAGTAGTCTTTGTTTTCTTCTCTCCTTTGTTGTCCCACTCAGGATAAATTACTATTACTATGTAAAAAGTAACATACAGAACTGTGTTATAGGGGATCAGATGTTGATGCAAATTACTCTGCCATACTGTATTTCAAAATAAGTAGTTTTTATGCAGTACATAGTACAAACTAAAAAATTTGGCTATGTAAATATAAAACTGTAGTATACAGAACTATGTTGAAAACGTCAACATTTTTTATGTACATTTGGGGAGAGAAAATGTTTGGTAATTGTTAATGGTCCCTAAACCCTCATAACATAAATCAGAAGTTTAAATAGCAGGAGTTTCTCGTAAATCGTGAAGGCCTCCCGCACTCCTACAAGCAAGCAAGAATCTTCCAAAAATTAACCCATCCACAAATTCATAATGTTTGCATGTTTTCACTGCTTTATTATCAATTTTCTCGCGTAAGTCAGTGCCGATGGGTATCAGTATATGCAGCAATATAAAATTATATGTGTGACAGCTCATTAACCAGATCAATGGCCGATTCAAGGGATGGAGAAGCTGGCCCGGGTCTCTAAATATATCAAAATTATGAAAAAATGGGGTAGAAAATATAATTATATTCAAATTGAAGTCTGAGAGGGCCATTTCCGGCCGTAATCATAAGTTTTCTTATCTCATTTCCAACCATGGTGGGGCTGATGTGTTCTAAATCCTCTATCTGTGAAAGTCCTTCAAAACCCCCACCCTCCGAACCGCCATTGCGATTCTCCCCCTATGACTTCCTTATCTAGTCTTTACCTCTTCAAAATTAAAGTCATGCATTCATCGCTGTCCAGACTATCAAATTTTATTGAACAGAAACATGTTACATACCTAAATGTGGTCATGTGATGTCGTCATGACCATATATAAGCACATCATGACTATTATATGAACTCAACAGTTTTTTGTCAAAGGAAATTCAACAGTGAGGACAGAGTATTACGTACTGTAAAACAGGTATTTTTTTTTTTTTTTTTTTTTTTGCAGCTTTTTTGGTTCACTGTTTATGTTTACACGTGTGAAGAAAAAACATGTCAGACAGCCACCGGATGCCGCTTTGTGCGAAGCTGGAGAGGGTCAACTGGCAAATGGTCAGTTACCCAATGGCCACGTGAAGGAAATAGAAAATAGACAGTCGGAGGAAATGAGCTCAAACGAGGAACTTTACAACACATTTGTAGCTCTTACCAAGTTTGGTGTCATATTGGCTTACTTCTACATCTGTGATAGGTATAATAATTTTGTCTTTACTGCCCACTTGCGGAGGCAGTGACACATAAGAATATTTGGTTGGAGGAATAACGGGATACCCCTTATTGCTTCATATGCTAAAAATAGAAATGAACAGTCTTGCTTTTTCGTGATGTTGAAGAGTCATGCAGCTGGCTCTATTTAATATGCCTAGCAAATGTGGCAAAATCCGTCATTTGTCGCACTTTCTACACAAGCACCCAAAACTTACAAGAATCAGAATTTGAACATTTTTGCATTTTATAAAGGAAGATATATGGAAAAAACATTTCTGCAAAATATCATTCACTAAATCTAACTGAAAAGTACATTAATATTATTTTTAAAATAAAAATAATAATAATAAACTATTGATTTTGAAATCTTTGGAAGCTGTTTTCTCAAAACCTACATGGCTGATGTCCAATGAATTAAAAAAAACATAACTTTGCTGATACTCAACCAATTGCCATTGAATATACACTTTTTAAAAAAAAGAATTCACGGAAAATCTAAAAACAAAAAAAAATTTAATTTTTATTTTTTTGCCAGAGTCGGTCACATTATAGTCATCATGATTATGTGATATCACACTATATATATATGGGCAAATCACAGGTATTGGCTCATAGAATGTGGTATTATGAACGTACCTTTACGGTTAAGATTGATCATTTCATTAATTATTCCACCAATGGAGAAATTTACATAAACAGATTCAAGTTTCTTTAGGATTGCATAACTGCCATGGGCAGCTAAGCAAATATTTACTAAACTCCAGTGCTGAGAGTCAGCCGTTGCATCAATAAGCTTTCTCTTGTATACAATGTTTAATATTCTAAACCTGTTTATATTGCTTGTACAACAAAAACAAAAAAAAAAATCTTTTAATCACTACAAGCACATGGATTTACCACAAAGATTTAACTATGGTTTTTCCTCTGAAAATGACAAAAAACTTCTAAAATAATAATTTTGAAATTATAATGCTCATTTACCAGTAACATACAAATGATTAACCTAAACATAGAAAAAATGATATTTAATATTTAAAAAATGTGTACCCTAATTTTTAAACTGGATAATGATAAAAATAATAAAAACACTTAACAGTGATTGGAATGGTTTTCTATAATTTTTCGCTGTAAAATTATGGGCAAACATTTTGTAAAATACACTAATTGATAATTTTTATGTTAATTTTAAAAATGATTTTTTATGACATTTTAAACTCTGATTCTATTGATGTTACCTCTTTTTAGTAAATTGCATTAATTTTTTATGTTTCTGGTTTTCTCTGCATGACAATTTCAACGAAATACTGAAGACACTAGGACAACTAAACATCTTCTTTAAGTATCATGAAACCATGCATGAATTTATACCATCCTCTCTAAATGAGCAGTCAATTACTTTGGAAAATAAAGTTAAATTAAATGAAAAATGAAATTAAATTTCTTTTTTATTTGACCTTTAGAACTGACCTCATCCCTAAGGAACAGAAACACTTCAGCTACCTCCAGTTTTTTGTCGCCTTTGCATACATCGCTGTTGTTGGCTTCTTTTTCGACAGGGAAACGAAACAAGTTAGTTTTTACACGTGACATTAAGCTTCATTGACTCCTCGATCTGTAACTCTGTTGTTTCAAGCGCCCCACATTTAAATAGATACATGTGGAATAGACAAGCCAAACCAGTCACTCGTCGCAAATCCTGTTTCAGAGATATTGGCCAAAACGTGCTGGAATGTCACATTTTTGAAATATATTTTATTGCACTAAACTAACTTTTAATAATAATAATAAAGATTTATAAAGCGCACATCTCCACCAGTGGTGCTCAAGGCGCATATGTATATATGTATACATCATGCTATTCTGTTATTTTCCTCATTTTCAATGTTCAAACAACAATTTTTAACGATTTGGTGATGGCTTCTGCCTGAGAAATGCCCAAAATCATAAACATTGAAGGCTGATTTCTCAAATATTGTTCTTTAAACAGCTGTAAGTTTAAATGCTTGTAACTTCTTAAGGAAATGTTGGATTTAAATGATTCTTTTACAATTTTATAGCTCTCATTTTACTGTTGAACACTGTATTAATTACTAAAATTTGATTTTTGTGACGAGTGACTGGTTTGGCTTGTCTTTGTTACAATTTTAGGAGCAGTAGGATACATGTAGATACAGTATATTTTTGGTCTGTGTTGATTGTATAATGGCATACATTAATTAATATTATATATTTTTTAATTAATGTTTTGTGTATTACACATTTTTAAACATTACATCCTTCAGGATATGTGGCAAAGACAAGCCAAGCTACAGTAGTCACTGGTCGCAAAAATTGATTTTTCGTTATTAATACATGGTTAAAGAGTAGAATGAGAGTTATAAAAAAAGAATCATTTAAATCTGAAAGTTACAAGTTTTCAAACATACAAGTGTTTAAAGAAAAATATTTGAGAAGTCAGCCTTCAAAGTTTACGATTTCGGGAATTTCTGAGGCAGAAACCATCACTGGATCGTTAAAAATCAGTGTTTTAACATTGAATAGTGGGAAAATAATAGCATAGCCTGATGTATAAATATATAAAGGTTAGTTTAGTGCAGTATATTAGATTAAAAAAAAAAATTGGCATTCCAGCATGTTTTGGCCATTATCTCTGGACACCATTTGACGAGTGACTGGTTTTGGTTGTCTTTGCCACATATACTGTATGTATTGAGCAGGACAATTTAGAAAATAAAATTCTTTCAATCAGAAATCCAAACAAAGCAATTTTATATTTTTGGCAAATTTACAGATGTATATATTCTACTGTTTATATTACTCTAATTAAAGAACTTTAATTTGTAATAGTAATCAGTACTGATTTTCAGTATTTTCCCAGTTGAGAATTTTTTACTAGTAAATTTGTCTTTGTAAATACAGACAGCTGATTGCACACCTAGAGGCTTTGTACTGTACCTTTTGGGTGGGAATCAATGATTTGAAAAACAGCAACACGTATAGTCAAAGCCTAGGCCTAGACTTGAATGATTATTTTATGATCAGGCCTAGGGTATATATTTTTACTGGTTGGCTGTTTTTTTTTACCTTTAAAATTGACAGCTAAACTGGCAATGGGAGAACACTGATTTTCATAGTAAAATTATTTTAAATCAGAGAGAACTAAACTGTCTCATTGGGAGTTAAATAAATATTTAAATGAGCAATTTTATGTCTTATTTGTTTACAGAGAATGTGTTACTACAATAAACATTATGTTATAATAGACATTTTATATTTATAATTACACATTGATTTTGTATTTCTGTTCTCAGCCAACCTTACTGAACCGCGACCAAACTGAGGAATGGAAGGGGTGGATGCAGCTTGTTATTTTAATTTATCATGTGACTGGTGCTAGTACAGTAATTATACTTTTACTTACTATTAAAAATAGCACGTTTTCAGTGGAATATTATTGGTATTAAATGAATGACAATGAATGACAACAAATGAAACCTTTTGTTTTTTACAGGTCCTTCCTATCTATATGCATGTACGGATACTGGTTGCCATGTACCTGTTTCAAACTGGCTATGGCCATTTTAGCTTCTTCTGGAAGAAAGGCGAGTTCGGTATTGTCCGTGTTTGTCAGGTGATATAATTTAACTATAATTTATATCTACATATATATTTTAATTAAAAAAATAAAGTTTACTGTAACTTAACATTTAATAAATAATAATTTATTTCCATAATTTGTATATCTCAGTAAGTTACTTGCTTTCATATTAAAACTAGAACAAAATATTTTTTTTTTATTTGAAATTTTTTTTTTTCGCCAATGCTTTGCAAGAACTGACGGAGAAACACTCTAACCCATAGAGTCAGATAGGTAATCATTAGGCTTTCTCAGCATTAAGCTGTGATGTCCTATTCAGGGATATAAGTGTCCCTGCCCATGATGAGCTCCAGGATCCTTCTGATCCAGAGGGACAGTACCTGTCAGGGTCCCACCCAGGGTTACGGGAATTTATTTTTTTTTATTCAATAAAATAAAAAAATAAATACGAAATGAAAAATATCAAATAAAATAAAAAGATATTTTGAAATGCATTTATGTGGCATGATGGTAAATATTTGGAGCAATAGCAAACCATTATGGCAATGTTCTCAATTTTAATTTCCACTCAATTTTGTGTAGTTTACTAGCGTTCCAACCAAGATTATGTAACATGTGCCTAACAGCAGAAACACTCCATAGAAGCCATGCAGTTTCCTATTTCCAGCATCACCAGCGCTGTCTGTTTTCAAATTATATCCACTAATAATTTACATGATCCGAGTCGCCGATTACGTCTATTGCTTTTTTTTTTTTTCAAATTGTGATGAGGGAAAGATAAAGATTTCTTATCAGAATACTTCATAGCAGAGACAGGTGCAATAGTGTAATTGATAATAAACAAATTCTTTGCTATATTTACAAAATATTTAGAAAATAAAAATACTTATATAAAATTTATAGCAGCAGTCCTAATACCAGCTGATGGAACCCACTAAACATCAATTTCATTCATATTATTATATTATTATTATATTGTTTTAGGAATAAATCATTTCTGATGTTTCAGGTGATGTTTCGTCTAAACTTTCTTGTCTTCTTCTTGTGCTTGGCTATGGATCGACCTTACCAGTTCTACTATTTTGTTCCTCTTGTTTCTTTCTGGTTCGTTGTTGTGTATGTTGTCATGGTGATACCACCAAGAGCAACAGTGAAAACAGCAGCTGGTGAGTAAATGTAAATAAATTAGCAGACAACAATTTGTATTACAAGAGAGAAACGTAACAAATTGGATTTATTCGGTGTAAACACACCCACAAAATTCAGGCTTATTTCCAGTGGGGTGCTTCTGGTGGTGATTGGGCAGTAGTACACTGGGAGACAATCACTACTCTTTTCTGAACAGTGTACTGCATTCTTAATGTGCACATGGGCCATATTGCACACGAGAACAACAGCTTAAGTGTCTCATATTGAAACTTGCATTTCAGCCCTCCAGCTGAAACACAAGGAACACAGTGATGGAAATTGAACCAGAGAACTAGAGATCTCCACGGTTCAGCAAACACAGTGGCTACTACCAGTTTTAACTGATTAACCTAAGCTGCTAGAAAGTCAAATTATTGTAATTGGTGTTTGAAATATCAGGATATTGTTTTCACAACTGAACTAAAAAAAATTCACCAACTCTCAATTTTTCTAATCCACATTACGTGTACAAGGCAGCTACAGCCACTCGCGGAATATCGTCGCTCGAATTTTCCACAAATTACACTTGCGATACGCTCTTGAGTAATGGTTTTAGATATTCGAACAGTACTGTATGTACTCACTGCTTTTTGGCGGGTCTGGTTTATTTGTTTGTTTGTTGGCAAGATTATGCAAAACTGATCAATGAATCATAAGTTTTATTACATGTGGATCCAAAAAGAAGTGATTAAATGTCATAGGTCTCATTAGGATTATACAAAAATTAATGGATGGATCATTTTAAAACTTAAAGTTGAGGTAAATAGCGATTTAAGGGAAAAGTGAATACATTTTTGCGTTCACAGAAACTACAATTTTTTGTTTACATATATGTTGAATTCAGTGACAGGGTGAAGGTGTGCAATCTATGGAGTGACCACGGTAGTATTGATATTTAGAATTTAGAGTATAGTATTAGTTCTATCCTCTATGTGACAATTCACTCACTGAAGTGTACCACATTAAATAGAGTACTTTCATATGTTACCTCTGTTGAGAACCAATCCGAGAAAGATGAATATTTTTTGTGTACGACGTCAACAATTTAGGCCTAGTTTTAGTTTTCCTGGATTCGCAGCCCAAGATTCAGATACTGGATCCCAGGCAATGAATCGAGAACCAGAAACTGAATGTAATTGCAACATTTCAATGAAATTTGATTATATTGTATATTAAATTAGTTAAATATATTGCAGATGTTTACATAATCAATGTATTTCGTCTTAGGCTAGGCCCTAGCCATTCCATACTACTAAATTAGCCATTGTGCCACCATGAATGACAACGCTTGCCACTTTCGTAGCAACAGGCTGTGCTACCACTAAGGGATTGGTTCTTGGGGAATGCGACAGCTCTCAATTTTTTAATGAGAACGGTAAGAAGAACAAGAAATTTTCTTGGCGAATTGGTTGTCAATGGAAGTAATGAAAGCCCTCTAATGTCTTGGGTGTAGCCATGATTACATTGGTAAAACAAATAGATGTTTTATTACTGCAATTCATGAACATGCTACATTACCTACAGTGTAGTTCATAATCATGTTGAAATCTGTGATAATTTTCAGTACATTCATGCTACGCTATCTAACAGTGTAGTTCATAATCATGTTCAAATGTGTGATAATTTTCAGTACATTTTAGGATTTTATAATTTACCTAACATACTTGATGGTGATGACCATCAATTTACTAACTTATTAACTTATTATCATCAGCTAACTTATAATCCTCACACTAATACTAAAATAATTGATAGTTCTTTTAATTGGTCATTTAAAGAAGTGCTTGCTACTCACCAGCATAAGCCTTTACTTTACTGTGGTAGAGCTTCTAGAGAATTAAGGGATTAATTTTGACAACACCCTATGTGTTCCTGGACGACCAATCACATTTGCTGCTTATAAATATGTTATTCTTGATGATGAATTAATGAAGTCGAAATGTTGAGTAAATATGCCCTTACTTTCTCTATTTGGAGTCACTTTTGTTTTATTTAATTTAAACGTTAACATTTTGTTGTGATTTCAGAACACCCAACACACTACCTGTTGATGACTGTTAAGTTGGCTGCCTTGTTTACAGTATGTGCATTAATTGGGTTTTCAGAAGTAAGTTCAAGACTAGACAAGCTTTCATTAGGGAAAATTCCATCCTCATTTTGTACTTACAGAACTGAACAATATCATGCGACATTGACAAAGCCATTCTGTTGCAAGTACATTCCACTACAGAGCATGCAACAAAAATTACCACGCATAGAATGATCATGGTTTCTGCTCTCTGCATGCTCAGCAAAGGGTCTGTCTCTTATACACATCTAGATGTGTATAAGAGACAGCTACTATTTTGTTCCTCTTGTTTCTTTCTGGTTCGTTGTTGTGTATGTTGTCATGGTGATACCACCAAGAGCAACAGTGAAAACAGCAGCTGGTGAGTAAATGTGAATAAATTAGCAAACAACAATTTGTATTACAAGAGAGAAACGTGACAAATTGGATTTATTCGGCGTAAATACACCCACGAAATTCAGGCTTATTTCCTGTGGGGGTGCTTCTGGTGGTGATTGGGGAATTGTAGTACACTGGGAGACAATCACTACTCTTTTCTGAACAGTGTACTGCATTCTTAACGTGCACATGGGCCATATTGCACACGAGAACAACAGCTTAAGTGTCTCATATTGAAACTTGCATTTCAGCCCTCCAGCTGAAACACAAGGAACACAGTGATGGAAATTGAACCAGAGAACTAGAGATCTCCACGGTTCAGCAAACACAGTGGCTACTACCAGTTTTAACTGATTAACCTAAGCTGCTAGAAAGTCAAATTATTGTAATTGGTGTTTGAAATATCAGGATATTGTTTTCACAACTGAACTAAAAAAAATTCACCAACTCTCAATTTTTCTAATCCACATTACGTGTACAAGGCAGCTACAGCCACTCGCGGAATATCGTCGCTCGAATTTTCCACAAATTACACTTGCGATACGCTCTTGAGTAATGGTTTTAGATATTCGAACAGTACTGTATGTACTCACTGCTTTTTGGCGGGTCTGGTTTATTTGTTTGTTTGTTGGCAAGATTATGCAAAACTGATCAATGAATCATAAGTTTTATTACATGTGGATCCAAAAAGAAGTAAAGTCTAATTATTGTAATTGGTGTTTGAAATATCAGGATATTGTTTTCACAACTGAACTAAAAAAAATTCACCAACTCTCAATTTTTCTAATCCACATTATGTGTACAAGGCAGCTACAGCCACTCGCGGAATATCATCGCTCGAATTTTCCACGAATTACACTTGCGATACGCTCTTGAGTAATGGTTTTAGATATTCGAACAGTACTGTATGTACATCAGCTAACTTATAATCCTCACACTAATACTAAAATAATTTATAGTTCTTTTAATTGGTCATTTAAAGAAGTGCTTGCTATTCACCAGCATAAGCCTATACTTTACTGTGGTAGAGCTTCTAGAGAATTAAGGGATTAATTTTGACAACACCCTATGTGTTCCTGGACGACCAATCACATTTGCTGGTTATAAATATGTTATTCTTGATGATGAATTAATGAAGTCGAAATGTTGAGTAAATATGCCCTTACTTTCTCTATTTGGAGTCATTTTTGTTTTATTTTATTTAAACATTAACATTTTGTTGTGATTTCAGAACACCCAACACACTACCTGTTGATGACTGTTAAGTTGGCTGCCTTGTTTACAGTATGTGCATTAATTGGGTTTTCAGAAGTAAGTTCAAGACTAGACAAGCTTTCATTAGGGAAAATTCCATCCTCATTTTGTACTTACAGAACTGAACAATATCATGCGACATTGACAAAGACATTCTGTTGCGAAGTACATTCCACTACAGAGCATGCAACAAAAATTACCACGCATAGAATGATCATGGTTTCTGCTCTCTGCATGCTCAGCAAAGGGTGATCAAATCATCCTTATGTTTAATTCAATTCAATTAAAATATTATTTCAGACATCCATTGTCCATATCAAAAAAAAAAAAAAGAAAAAAAAAGAAAACAAATACTGTACAAAAAGCACCAAAAACATACGTGAATCATAATTTTATACATTTTCATGTGTTAAAAAGAACATTTCTGAAAAATATTAATCACCAAATCTAACTGAATGTATATTAAAAATATTTGTTAAATAAAAATCGTAATAATAAACTATCGATTTTGGATGCTGTTTTCTTAAAACCTACATGGCTGATATCCAATGAATTAAATATTCATAATTGCGCTAATACTCAACCAGTTTCCATCAAATATAATAAGTTTCAAAAATATATGTTTTGCCAGACCAGGTCACAAATAATATCAAATAGACATTTGTAAAAAGGAGGTGGAATTGACCAGAACTGTCAATGTACAGTATACTTTAACAGTTCATTCCACCTCTGTCATACAATTTTGACTCGCATAGAATGTTTAGCCTATTACAAATGGTCAAAACAAGCAGGTTATTACTGGCAAGCATGTGCTTAATGTGATTATTAATACAAAAGGCTCTCTTAACATATTGATTTATCTTCTCTTTTAGGTTTTATTTCAAAATATGTTTAATTGGTGGCCTATGGTGAAGCTATTTGCTTGGCCCGGGACCTCTTTACATGAATGGTGGTTTCGATGGCAACTCGACAGATATGTAAGTCAGCTGTATTCTTATAGTAAAGTTACACAGAAAGTTTCTGTCGCCTATCAAAACATCTACTAAGATCAATATCACAGGAATTTATTTTATTCTGTTCTTTCTTTTCCACTTTCTCAGGTCGTAGGATACGGGATGTTCTTTGCATTTGCGTACATCTCGCTATCATCCATGGGCAAAATAAAGGACAATAATCCTGCTAATCTCTTTAGTCCGATTTTGACAGCTATCATTGTCATTGGCAGTATATTGGCTATAGTAGTAAGTATACAGTAGCATATTCTACAAATATTGACTGCTCATGAGAGGAATGGTGAATTCGGTTGCCCCTCGGTGATGTGGAGATCGTAGCCTATCTTCCCGAGGGCTGCTGCCAGTTTAGCCAACTGAGCTAACCTGCTTTTTACTTGAAAAAAATATTTGGAAATAATTTCTGAAGAGAAAGGCAATTAAAAAAATAAAAATTACGTAATTATTTAACTAATTAGTTATTGTTTTACAAGATTTTTTTTTTTTGTGTTTTTGTAGGTTTATACTGTTCATGCATTCACATGTTCCACGAAACCAGAATGCAATGAAGTACATACACTGCTCAGCCTATTACCGGTAAGTTCACTATTGTTGTGAGCATTCTATTTTGTGCAACAACGTAACTACAGGACATATTCACCTTGTGAGGGTTATTTAAGAATTGTACCTTGTAAAAATAAATGCAACGCTTGGTTAAGAGTGCTGCTTAATAAAACAATTACACTATTGTTAATATTACTATTATATTAATTATTATTATTTTTACTATTATTATTATTGTTATTGTTTTTGTTCTTGTTATTATTATTATTATTGTTGTTGTTATTATTATTGTTATGTTACTAAAACCTACCTTAAGGAAAACTTAGACAATTGAGAAATTAGAGAACAATTAACAAAAAAATGACATTAAGGGGAAAATAACATGACGTTAAGAGGAAAATAACACAAAAGGTATTTCCCTTAAGTCGGAGTTAGCGCTATTATTATTATTATTATTATTTTTGAATAATGAATTGAAGTGAATTCCATTATTATTAAGCCGAAAAATAAGGGTTTTATTCTCAGCAGTAGCTTATTAATATTATTTCTTTATTATAGTTATATTTTACTTATATATAATTTTTAATAATATTTTCTATCTTTCCAGGTGACTGGTTTTATACTGTTGCGGAATGTACCAGGATACTTCAGAACTAAATATAGTTCTTTTTTTGCCTGGTTTGGCAAAATTTCTTTAGAGGTAAAAGACTGGCAACAAGCTATTTAATTGAATATTAGACTGATATTTGCATTACTACAACCAGTATTATGTGATATGATGATGATGAAGAAGTGTATAATTATGTGTTGTGTGTGGTATGCTGCTTTAATGAAAATATACCAGTGTAATATGATGTCATTATGATACAACATTGTTGGGAAATGATGTCCCTCTCATAGTACTAGCCACTGATAATATGTCCGTATCCTGCAAATTCATAATATGTTTGCAGGATATGTTTTCAAAATACATGTTTTCACTGGTTTATTATCAATTGTCTCACGGAAGTCATTGCCAATGTGTATCACAATGTGCAGCAAAATAAAATGAAATGTGTTAAGGACGCTCATTTAACGAGGTCAGTGGCGGATTCAAGAGGGCTGAGCCCCCTACCCCAAGCTTTTTCTAAATTAAAAAAAAATGGAGAGAAAAGAAAATCATTCAAATTTAAGTCCGATATTGCCATTTCCGGACATTAGAGGTGCCATAATCATAAATTTTCTTACCTCAGCTCCAACCATGTTGGAGTTGAGGTGGTGCATACCCTACAACACATGTGAAAGCCCCTTCCTGCTCCCCCTATTTTGAATTCTTGTATCTGTCACTGCAGATGTCCCTGACAGGAGAAAGGTTTGCGTATTCAGGAGTTGCTCAAAATTATTGATAGTGGTTCAGGGGGCAAAGCCCCTAAAATTTTGACAATTTATCTTACTAATATATAGAAAATACAGTACATAATTATAATTTCTTTCTCCCAACGAATTGGGGTTTTAATCCGAGGGGGTAAGAGAGGAGGAAGATCTCCCCGACGGGCGCCCTTGCTCCCGGAATTGACTTCTTCCAACTTGGGACCCCTGGATGTGATATCACTGGGACATGATGTCATTGAGATGTGTTGTCACTGTTACATGATGTCGCTGTAATATTTCACATATATCATTTTCATATGATGTCACTGTGTTGTGATGTCACCTGAAGAAAAGCATTAATCCCCAACATTATCATTTTAATGTTTTGTTATCATTCTGTTGTTTGTGTCATAGTCAGTTCCTCTACCATTATCATATATAGAGATCTTATTGATAAGACGTAATTAACATGTATACCATACATTGTATTGAGATTAGTTCATAAACGCTTCATTGCTTCAACATATTCAACAAGGGCCTGGATATGACAATATTAAAATTAATGTCTTTAAATGTTTAAAATAATATCTGTTTTGATCTAATTTTAGTTTATTTTTTCTAAAATAAAAACTTTTAATTCAAAAATATATGAAAATAACCTGAAAATTACACCACTGTTTACTTTCATACATCATGTTATTATTTTCTTTACTCTTTTTTTTTCTTCCAGCTTTTTATTGGCCAGTATCATATATGGTTAGCCAATGACACCAAAGGAATTTTGGTACTGGTACCACATTACCCGACCCTAAACAAGCTCGTCAGCTCTTTTATTTTTGTTTGCATCGCGCACGAAATCACAAGCATAACCACGACTGTCACTAAGTGGGCGGTGCCGAACAATACTAAAGTTGTTTTAAGACGCTTTTTTCTATTTTGTGCAATGCTGGTACTTCTATTGTTAGCTGGTGTGTGAAGATATACTGCATGTAATGAGCTAATGGACCTGAAAATTTAAAATATAAAATGATTAATATATGGTAGTTAAAAACATATAATTAGGCTAGGGCTAGACTTTTGTAATATCTTCTTTAGCAAACTTATTTTTTTAGAGATTATCAGAGGAGGGTGGAAAAAATAATTGTTTTCTTATCTGGCAAAATGATTTTGCCAAAGGCATCTATGTGGAGGAGAAAATAAAAATAAAATTTTATTGATGAATGTAAACATATATTAATGATTTGATAAATGCTTTAAATTTATATAATTTTGAAAGAAATATAATATATCTTATTTTTGGAGATTTTAGTGTAGTGGAGGGTGTAATGTAAATAAAATATTTGTTTTTCTTTCTGAAATTTCCATTTTTCGTGGGGGAGGGTGCACTAACTGGCCAAAAATTTTATTTTTATTTGAAATCACCATTACTGGCGGTCGAAGGGTTTGTTAAACAAGGTGTAAACATGTTTCTCTTTAGCTTTCACTTGAAAATTATAACAAGAAAATTTCCTAATGCTGGCAGTAAATTTTGTACCAAAAGTTTTTAAGTAGGCTATTAATTGTATTGATCTTTGGAATTGATAATTTATCTGATCTTTCAAAATGAGTAATTACATTTTGATTTTTTTTTCTAGTGTTTCCTGTTTATAAAACCGTTCTTTAAGTGTTCATTTGTCGTGTTTGTTTGTTTTTTTTCATTTTTTTTTTTCAATTCTTATGAAATTTTGTCTTTTCAATTTTTTCACCCACACAACAAACTAACACAAAGTAGTTAGACAAATTATTTTAACATTAATCATTGAGATTTTAGAATGCCGGGAAATGTAAATTACCCATTGGGCAAAGTGGCTGCCCAATTAGGCTAATACTGAAGTGGCAGAGGGATGAGGAGCATGCGCATACACTCATCCAGTGTAAGATTTGCTATTCTACCTACCATGGTGACACATCTTTCAAGGAACTTTGTTTTAATTGGACTTTTTGTTTCTGTTTTTTTTCTCATGAAATTAATATGATTTTATGAATTTATTATCAGGGACCAACGTTTTAATTGGACTTTTACCCAGTTTTTTTTTCTCTTGAAATTAATATGATTTTATGAATTTATTATTGGGAACCAACGTTTTAATTGGACTTTTACGCAGTTTCTTTTTTTCTCTTGAAATTAATATACTGTACTTTTATAAATTTATTTTCTGTAATTACTGAATTTGCTATGTGATACTCTATGCGGCCCATCTGTTAGGGAACGATGGACCAACTGTTAAGGGAATACTGGCCCCACAGTGTAAAAGGAACTTTTTGTAGTTGAAGAGATATTTTGATAATTAGTATATTTTTAATGTATATGAGTTACCATAGTACAAATTGGACGTTTTAAGTCAGTTTTTTTCTTTCTTTTCATAAAATAAATATACTTTTATATATTTATTATGTATTCTATGTAATTACTGAATTTGCCAAGTGGTGACTCAGTGGTGACTCAGTTTTAAGGAATGCAGTCTTTTATATCATTTGAAATAAAGTGGTCAAAATGTCAATACACATTCAGTATTTGGTTAGGGAATGGTGGGGTATGGAGAAAAAAATATGTGATGTTTTATGAAATGAAAGGCTTACACAGCTGCTCTCTATACTTGGTTAAATACTTGTTGTATAAATGAACGAGAATTACTGAATGAAGTTCATTTTAAACTAATTTAAGTTTAATCTTCTATAAATTTTATAAACTTATAGTGGGTGGAGTTTCTTTAACCATTTAACTATTTAATTATCTAATGCTCTAAAAAAGAGCAGTTACTATGATGTTTTTACTCTTTAAATTTGAGAAATTTAATAATTGAAGTTAATTTATAAACTATGTTAACTATGATGCTCTTACTCCTTAAATTTTAGAAATGTAGTGATTGAAGTTAATTTATGAACTAATTTAACTAAGTTATGTATGAAATTTCGAGGACTTAAGGAGCGAAGTTAATTTATAAATCATTAAAGTACCTATATGATGATGCCCATTCTATTTAAGGAACTTAGGGAGCAAGTTATCTATTGATTTAACTAGGTTCTTTATTTCCTATACATTTAAGAGACTTAGGGCTTAAATTTACTTTACGGACTAATTTAACTATGCTAACTGTGTAGTACAGTGTATAATGACGTTTCTTGTCAATGAATTGACGTTCTGCTAATCCCCGCTCCGTGGATATTGTTGCTAAAGGTCCCACATAACGACAGTGTTAAAACATATGCAAACACGTGCGTTTATGGGACTGGGACAACACCTGTGCAACACGCGCGTATATTTGTCCCTATTCTGAAATTTTCAGTAAAGTTTGATTGACACTATAGAAAGGTCCATTCACAATTATACAGTACTGTATCACAGTATTACTATTTCTTTAATTTATATTACCGCCATATTTCCAGTTAATAGTATCACTTACTATATTTTTGTATTAAGTCTTCATTTACTTGATCAATATTTAAAGTTAGTTTCATTCGATATAATATGCTGATTTTATTAAAAACCCATTAAAAACAACCTTCCAGAATTTTGACCAACTCGTTATTACCGTACTCGCGCGAATATTTTTTGCTCTTTTGGAGGTGCGCTTATTCGAACGGGGCGCCTATGAAAACAAAGTGGAAATAGATGAAAATCGAGGGGTTCTTTTGAGAACTTATTAAATTCAAGAGGCACATTTTTAATGAAAAAAGATTATATAAGGACATCAGGAAACCGCAAATTACGAATGGTGGTGCGGCGGAAAAAATAATCGTCCAGAGAGCAGGGCTTGTCATGACAAGAATGTTGTTAGTAGGCCTACAGTATTACATAACAGCAGAATAGCAGATGGAATTAGTGGTGGTGGTTAGTTTGTTGGCCATCGGCCGTTTGAGAATAGCAGGACGGCATGATCATTGCAGGTTTTTTTTGAAAACTTAGTAGATGAGAATGTGTTAAAGGTGCAAATTGTCGGAAAAGGAGTAGGACTAGGCTATAGACAAATGTAAGAAGATGAAAGTTGGAAATATATACCGTCTATCCAGGGAGCTCTCATCTGTCCAAGATAAATGTCCTCGTATTGATATTGATTAAAGGAGAATGTAATTCCACTCCACACCTCAAATCATGCCAACATCCACCCATCGTCCCAGGATTGATTGGATTATTGAGGGGCGCTTTTTCGAGAGGGGCGCTTATTTGCGCGAGTACGGTATATTAGTAATGATCATTACTGTATTTCAAATTTTATACAATTTTAACAGGTTTTCTGTAGATATCGTGTTAATAGAATTTCTTTTTATGCAGGTTATGGTATGCAAATAAATTATTTGAAACTTGGATTTGGAGTAGTCTACCTTTTCTTTAGGGAGTTTCTGAGATCTGAACGTCGTCGGAAGAAGAAAATGCGCATGTTCACAAACACATCGTTCACGCTATTGTTTTGTGGGACCTTAGCAACAATTTCCAAGGGGCGGGGCTTAGCGGAACGGTGTCCATTTACCGACTTGTCTCTTGCTGGTTTGAAGTGCACGTGTAATGGGATTTCCGCTAAACCCTACCCATATTGGATACTGCTATTATGGAACCTTATTAAACAGCGTGTTTGTAGACGTACGTTCTGATAGTTGTTTCATTGACATTTCGGAAATATGCCCACAACTGTCCTTGATGCGTTCTTGCTAATTTATTTACGCCTAATTCTTTATTGTATCCTTCCCCTGCATGGACTATCAGAGCCCACAGGCCTCACCATCAGCTGTGCTTACGTCATAGGCCCTAGTAGCCATTTTGACCCCCTCAGCTCTAAAGTATTGATTTTAAGGAATTTTAATTTCTGTGTATGAACTGTTTTTTTCCCCCAACTATTCAACCCCAGACACGTTTTCTAATACTTAGAACTATTTCTTCATTTTTTTTTTTTTTTTTTTTTTTTTTTTTTAATATTTACTATTGAAATAATTAAATCTCATATTCATGTATTTCCCCGTGTACAATACATAACAATAACAATTTTAATTTTAATGAAAAATTAAATCGGGGAAATACAATTAACGAAGCCAAAAATGCACAAGGGCCTACAAAACCCTTGCCCAAACACGATGCCTAACTTCATAATCAACTACAAAAACGTAGTTAACCATCATTATTTTACGATAAAATTCGTTGACGGTAATAATAATTTTACAAGCTTGTTAATTTAATGGAGAAATTGAAATGGCAGAGGTTAATTTGCTTTGGTAATGAATATCACAAAGTGGTAAAAAAATGTGAATACTCCACTCAAAAATATTGCTCCACTCTATCTACCCTATAGTATAGTAATGGCTATGGTGATAATGGTATGGTAGAGGAAATTGTAATGATTATGATAATGGTAATGTACGCCCACCCTTTTAATCATATTTTCTGTATTTCATTGTAATTAATAGTTTTATGATAGACTAGAAAAAAAATCTAAAAAAAATGAGTTAGGGGGAGTGGAATGTTAGAAGCAATCCACATAGCCAGATATCCTAATTAACCCCTTCTGGTCACCCTAAGCCCTGTTGACACTTGATTTTACTCCTTGTATACAAATGGCAGCCATTTTGAAAAATGGCTGCCAAATTTATCTAAAATGTGCATAAAATTGAAACTAAATAAGCTAGATATGATTTTGGTGTCTAAACTCATAATTTCTAGACAGGCAACAATCTAGACATATAAAAACTACTGTCACTCAAGCATTACCAACCGTTTCTCGCGCATCGTGCGGGACGGTCCCGCTTCAAAGTGATTTTGGATGTAACAGTCATTTGGCGGAAACACATGCGTGATCTTAAATTTCTCGCGCATTTAGGCCATGCATGACGACGAATAATCACGAATTTAGGGAAAATATATTTAAAATTAGAAGAAATTAGTTTTATTAAAATTATAAAACAATCATGCAGTAACTTGAGTCATTATAGAGCTTTCGTTATCGCGTTTGAGATTCGATTCTCCAAAAGCTTTGGCGGCGCGTGTGATTATCCATGAAGCTATCCAAAAATAAAAACAAATTAAATTAAATATTTTGATAAATAATTTTCTCATA